TCGGTTCGAAACCTGTTGCCGGAGATATCATACTCCGATATCTTCTTCTGCTCTACCCCCCCAGCCAGCCCACAACAACCCCTGGCAGAGGAGAAGGAGGAGGCCAAAAACCCGTTGCAGTTGATCACGACCCACTAGTCGTGGTGCTAGGGGAGCGAGGAGAGGAAGGATGGAGGCAGAGGCCGGAGATGTTCCCTTCCCTTCGGCTTCCCACCACGTAGAGTGGACGCTATACAGTAGGGCACTCTAGCCAGGTCGGTGAGCCGGGTTGTTGATGGGGTGTGGGAGGTACCGGCAGTTTTTTTTCTTCTTCTTCCTACTTACTCGAGCTACAGTGCCGTATTTTATCGTGTCTTTTTTTATTTGAAGATTTTTGCTTTTTTTCTCTCTCTTTTTTTTTTGACTGGCTGACTGGCTGGCTGGCTGTCTACTCTATCGGGATGTATGTGGTATCTACCCGCCCGCAATATCGTGGGTACAGGAAGGGAGATACGGTACAGGTACAGGAACAGGTAAGGTAAGGTAAGGTAGGCAACATTTCCGCCGTTCCACAGCCAGCCCGGCTGGTAGGTATGGGAATACAAGTGAGGTTCCCTCCTGCGGCAGAAGACGACATCCAGCCAAACAGAAAGGGACAAACAGAAGTAATCTTGTCTTGTCCATGTTCAATTTCCCGTAAACCTCCTACTCCTCTTGTCCCTCCTTCCCAGCTCTCTCTCTATCACTCCATCTCTCCCTCCCCCAACCGAACGGATGCACCGAATGCATCCACTCAACTGGCCTGGCCTGCTCTGGCCTGGCGGGCGGGACGCATCCGGCCCACGGCCCCAACCATGATGACGCCGACCGCGGCTCTCCGTTGACCCTGGTCTTACGATCGGCGGGGCTGCTGTTCTTTTTTTCTTTCTCTTTGCCTTTCTTTCCTTTTTTTTTATATTTTATATTTTTTTTTTTGTTTGGACTGGCTGGGCGGGCTGCTTATCATGGCATTCCCGAAGAGAGGAGAGGAAGAGAGGGAAACACGTGTGTATGTGTGTGTGTGTGTGTAATGTGTTTTTTCGATTTGATTTGACGTGGTGGATAGAGATTATTTTTATTTTTTTATTTTTTTATTTATTTTTTTATTTATTTTCTGACTCGTTGATGATGATGAGAAAGAGAGAGAGCGTGCCAGGCTGTCATTGGCGGGCGCGCGGCGTCGCCTCGGGGAGCTACTTTTACCTTGCTGACAGAGGGAAGTCCAAAAAAATGTGACAACGAAACGAAACGCGGAAGTAACGGTCGGCCCGGCGATTCCGAGATTCCGATGGGTGGTGATGTGGTTGATGGTGGTGAATCAGAGTGATCACTGACGCTGGGCGAGAGAAGGTCGGATCGAACCACGAAATGATCAATTACGCACGCACGTGAGGGATCCAGTTGGTCTGGTCGGTCAGTCAAGAAGATGATCTAGAGCGAAGAGAAGAGGAAAGGAAGGTCGTCAGTCAGTCAGTCTGGCTGGCGTCCCCGACGTCAACGTCGTCGGTAGGTTCCTTTCACTTACACTTATTTTCGCTTTTCCTTGGTTACTCTGATTTGCTCTGCGTGCGCGCGCGCATTACGAATTCGATGTTCTTGCTTACGAGATCTTACGATTTTCTTGTCACTTGTCACTTGTCACTTGTGTCCGCCATCCACTTCCCTCCACTCTCCCCACTCCACTCTCCACTCCCACTCCACTCCCACTCCTCGCCTTCTTCCCGTGCACCTCGGGAATGGGAAACATGAAAAATGCAAATAGCCGGTCCGGGAAATTCGGTGTGGTGCTTTGCTTGCTTGCTTTCTTGCTTTGCTGGGGAGGAGGGAGGGGGGGTGAATGACTGAACTGACCAGTCGCCGGCAGAGTTCTTCAGGCTTGGGAAGGTTTCCTTCCCTTCACCCCTCCCTTCCACTTCCACTTCCCTTCCCTTGTGCGACGACGACGATGTCGATGTTCGCTGCCCGGCAACTATCATCCCGATGGGTACATGTAGCAGCACAGAAACAGCCATAATGCGTGTCGGTGTTTCCATCGTGATCGCATTCCGCCCTGCTCTGCTTCTGCTATGCCCTCTCCCCTTGCTCTGCTCAGCCTTTTTTTTGTTCGGCCCCCCTTCTTCTTCGGAGATAGAAAACATTGTTTTTTCCTTTCTTTTTTATGTCCATTTTTGTTTTGCGTCTGTAGTCGCAAGAACGTAGATACGCATACCCACATCCACCCACCAGTGGAGCATGAGTGAGTGAGTGTGTGAGACCCCCCCGGCCGCCGGTTTGGGGAGTGGGTTTCGTTTCCATCATGCCGGCTCTTTTCGCTCGCTCGCTCGCTCGCAAGCAAGAACGCAGCAACCCGGCCGGGGCGCGCGCGTCCGTTAGTGTCGTGGTAGTGGTTGTTCATGAACCCGGTGAGGCAAAACAAATGGGAACGGAGGAGATGCCGCCGGGCGGTGGAAGTGGAGGGGGGGGGGGGGTAAAGTATTGTATGCAGGTTATGGCTGTCTCTCTGGGGGGAGAAAATAGATTTTTTTGTGCGCCTTGAGCCCTCGGGTAGAGGGGAAAATGTGGTTTTTAATCAATTTAATTTCACCTCCCCCCCGTCAGTGCTGGTATGGGGATGTGCCTTCCTTGTATAATATATTGTAGCTTATGGAGGAGGGAGGAGGAGGAGGGGTTCTACTCTACAGGAGATCCCGAGGTGAGGTGACGGTGTGCGGTGGGTTAGTTTCATTCCGGGGGCTTGTCCAAGGCCCCCAGGCCAGCTACGCAAGGCAACCCGCAAGAGCGAGCGAAGAGCGAGAATCGCTCCGGCGCATATCATTCCACCTCTCACCCCCACCCTACCGGTGGGAGGGATTATGATAGATACCTGTTTTTTTTTTTACCATGTTCTACGGTTTCTATATACAGAGTTGCCACATACATATTACGAGGAATGTAGATGCACGGAGTATAGTACATACGGGAAACAAACAGGACAGGACGGGGATTCCGGCGCGGTTTGCTTCCCGCCGCGCAGACGGGCGCCCGCGTGGGAATGAGTGAGGGTGGGAAATAAATAGATACGTCCTGGACTAGGTAGATGAATAGGGAGCACAAATGGATCATATCTCGTATATATCCTCAAGGGCGGCGGCAGCAGAAGTATGTACTGTAGGTATCGTGGTACCGTATGTAGGTAGGTAAAAGTACCTCTACAAGTTGATAATCCGCCCCCCCCCCCCCCCCCCCCTTCCCTCACTCACTCCTCGGTAGTGAGGGCCAAGGCTTGTTCCGTCGACCGGCACGCAGTTCCCTTCCACTGCTTTCCCGTCCGCCCGCTCCGGGGTGGTCCCAATTAGTTTGTTTCTCCGAGTGGAGGTTGTGGTGGTGGGGGTATGAGGAAGGAAGGAAGGAAAGGAAGGAAGGGGTTGTTGAGTGGCAGTGAGTGAGTAAGTGAAGTGATGAGTGAATGAAGGGTTGAGGTGGAAAGGGCTGTCTTGCTGGCTGGGTTACGTTGAGAGGTAGGAGGAGGAGGATATAGCCGATGCTGGCAACCGAGAATGGTGTGAGCCGAAATGCCGAAGCTTAGGGATTGGTAGGCACAGTACCGAGGGAGGGAAGGGAAGGGAAGGGAAGGGAAGGGAAGGGAAGGGAAGGGAAGGGAAGGGAAAGAATGGGGGGTACATACCAGCGATACAGGGCGGGAATGGAAGGTGATATCTAGCAGAGAAATTTAAGGGGAGGGGGGGAGGGGTTAATTAGTAGATTCTACTTCTACTGATTTGTGATTTAATTGGGTTTTTGAAAAGTCGTTGGGTTCTTTTTGTTATTATTTTATTGTTATTCACTATTCACTATGAGTACAGTACCGAGATTTGTAGGTAGATTTCTTTGGGAAAGCCAAGAGACATCATGTTGGGAATTGAATGGGAGTCTGCATAAAGGAATGAACGAACTGAGTGAGTGAGTGACTGAGTGATCATGAGTGAGGCGAAAGGAAGACAAAAAAAAAAAAAAAAAAAAAAAAACAGGAACAAGAGAGGCAGCGGCAGCAGCAGCAGGAGCAATCGGAGGCAAGGGAAAGGCAGTAGGTATTAGAAAAACCTTACTTCGGAGTAAAGAGAGAGGACGCATGCTGCTGTATTCCCTACAGAAATGCTGGAAATAGCTCTGGGCACGCGTAACTCACTGCCGCTCACTGCCTCACTTACACTCAGGAAGGGAGGACGACTTCTCCGCGTAGCAACTTGCCGACCCCAAAACCGGAGGCGTCCTCCGTATGCGTCCGCCTGACCCTCTGGCCATAGCATAGCAACCACCGACTCTTCCTTCTCCGTGTCCCTTCCCTTTCTGCCTTTCCCTTTCCCTCAACTCCTACCTTACCTGCCTTCCCCGTCATCCGCCGCTCAACCCCAACAACCAACTCGCATCAACAACTACCACCACCACCCCCCCCCCCCCAAAACCATCAATCAACTGTCCTCCTCCTTCCCATCCATCAATCCATATCCATCCATCCATTCTTTCTCTCCCTCTCCCTCTCCCTCTCCCTCTTTCTTTCTTTCTTTCCTTCTTTTCTCTTACCTTTCGGAAAAGTCGACATCTACTGCTTCTGTCACCATTCTTTCATCAGGACATCTATTCTATATCAGATCGGTTGTCACTTGTCGTTCCCGACACTCCCCATCTATCCACCCATCATCACTCAGCACTCAGCACAACCCCCCGGCCCGACGCTGGAACCCGCCGAAAAAATAGATTCAAAGTCTGTTTCTCAAACGGGCGATCAGAAGGTATGGATTGTATCCCCCCCCCCCCCAAACTCATTCCCATTCCCTTCCCATTCCCTTCCTCCCCTTTATCTAACCACCCCCCCACCCACCCTTCCTTCCCATTCCCCCAATTCACCCCCATTTCTCAGGACTTACAGACTCTTGTAGATTCCCCCCACTACCGTACCACTGGAGACAGCAACAAAACCGCCATCGTGCGACCGAACCCCAAACATGCGGTCGTCGATAGCCTGCGTCCGGTGTCGTCGCTCGAAAGTGAAATGTGTCAACACTGGCCCAAACACCACGTGCCGTGCTTGCGAAGCAAGCAATAGGGAATGTACCTACCCTCCGCCGGTTGTCAGCGGCGCGCCTCGCGTCTCGTCTGGCACGGCGGCCGTCAGGACTAGCAACAGCGGCTCCGGTAGAGACATTGCGCCTGGTGGCGGTGGAGGGGCCGCGGCGCCGCACCATGGGACCCCCGGCGATCGCGCAGAGGCCCCAAAGAAGCCGAAGCCGAAGAAGCCTGCTCCTGCCGGCAACGTGGCACCAGGACCGGCGAGCTATCAGGGCGCGAAGGCGTTCAAGGATGCTCTGGACGCGCCAATTCTGACCCCTGCCATGTGGACCCAAGTTGTATGTTATGCTGTTGTTGCTGTTGCGGCTTTACCCGATTCTAGCTCTTTTTCTTGGTTGGAGAGTCTTGGTTGACCTTTTGTGTTTGATTTATTTTTAGTTTGAGGCGTTCCAATTGCACCACTCGCCCACGCTGCCGTTCCTGCACCCGCCGAGCTTTTTGTCGCGTCTCCGCGTTGCGACAGCGGGATCGGCGGCCACTAACGGCGGTGGCTCGACACCACCGGCGCCCGAAAAGCCTCATTCACCGCTGGTATTGTTGGGGCTGTTGACTTTGGCTGCTAGACATGTTCCGACGCTTGTCGCGTACCATGCGCCAGCGCTGACGACGCCGTCGGCGGTTTCGGACTTTTATGCGTCGGCGTTGAAGTACAGGCTCCACAACGATGACGACACGAGTCTCAACGCGCCGGGCGAAAAACGGAGCGCATTTGCGACGCCAACGCTGGAGAAGACTCAGGCGATCCTCATGTTGGCTGTGCATGAGTGGGGAATGTGTCGAGGGTCTGAGGCTTACGTGTGGCTCGGAATTGCCATTAGGATGGGAGGCGTCTTGGGACTTAGCTGGGATGACGTTCACGAAGATGAGCAGATGTGGGCGAACCCATTTATCACACTCTCATTGGCTGGGGGCAAGAACAGACGCGAAGCAAGCCCTTCCGCAAAGAGGAGAAAGTTGGACAACTATGCCAGGCCTTCTAGTGGTGGAAGCGGTACAGGAAGCATCAACAACAACAATCATGATAGTAAGGCTTCCGGCAAGGATTTTATCGAGAAGGAGGTGAGGAGACGGACGTTTTGGGCGCTTTTCATGCTTGATCGGTCTTTGAGCTCTGGTCGGTTCAGGCCGAGCGGAATCTCGCTCGCCGAAGCGTCGAGAGTGCAATTGCCCTGTGAGGAGAGAGGCTTTCTTTTTGGTGAGGGTGTGAGGACTGGGTTCTTGTCGGTTGACGGATATGACAAGACAGAGGAGAGGAATGGCGGGGACAGTAAGCGGTGGGAAGTGGGTGAAGATGAAGGTATTTTGGCTAGGGTTGTCAGGATCACTGAGATTTGGGGAAGGGTGCAGGATTGGGCCTGTGCTGGCGGAAGAAGGTATAGACCGATCCATCGATCCCCCCCACTCCTCTCTCAACAGCTGACATTTGATTAGACAAGAAAAATACCCTCCATGGTCGCCCCATTCTAAATTCTACCGGCTGTCACAGTTGCTTGATGGATTCCATTCGTCTCTTCCAAGGCATCTACACTTTTCCCCGCAAACACTTTCTGCGCACATGTCTTCGCGTACATCAAGTGCATATGCAGTTATGCACATTACTTACTTCCTCTGCCTCGTCATCATGCATCGGGAATATATCCCCTTCCTGCCGCTCCGTATCAATCGCCCACAGGGTCCTCTCGATCCACCAATATTCCTCGCGGATGACCCCGAGACCGACAGGGAAGGCCTTGAGCCCGGGACCACGGTCTCGGATTGGTGGGAGGAGTCCGCAAAGGAAATATTTAGATGTGCTCGCGGCATCATGCAGATTGTGAACGGTCTTGAAGAATGGAGCAGCTCCGTCGAGACTCCCGCCGTTGGATTTGCAGTCTATATGGTTGGTGTCTCGGGTGTCTATGCCTGGAGCTTCCCGTGGATGGACCAATCAGGATACATTACCGGCAGCATTCCGCATGAAGCCAGCGCCTCGGGCGACGACGAGGATGAAGATATGGAGGGAAGCCGTAGCAGCCGCAGTGCCGAAGGCACCGGTCTCGAGGCCCGGAAAGCCGTCGAACTGATCACAAAGATGAAGGGGATGTGGCGCATGGCTGAAGGCTGGTTCCTCACCTTGGGCCGCATGCGGAAGTACTTCCAAAATGTCCGCAGCGAGTATGTCCGCCTGCATGGTGACGGCGCCAACAGCGACGACGGTGCGCCGGAGAAGCCTGAAGCCGCGGTCGCCCGCAGACTCAAAGACGGTCTCGGTGGCGGCTACGAAGAGTATAAACGCTTCGAGCAGCTCTTCCATGACTTTACCGGTATATCCGACAGCGAGAACGCCACCGCCCGCGACTCATTCAACACACCACCCCCACATGCGCCTCAAAAGCGCTCCGCCCCTGAGACCGCCAACCACGACCCTGAAATCAAGCGCGAAGGCAGCACTGGTACCGTGACCAAACGCGAAGGTGACGTCGAAGCTCTCCTTCTCGCCGCCGAAGGTGCCAACAGCGCCCCAGGCGGCGATCGCTGGATGGCTGTCAACACGCCGCGCCAGCAGCAAGAGCAACAAGCCGCCGCTGCCGCAGCAGCAGCAGGGACAACAGCACCACGCCCCCAACAGCCAACATCATCACCTCACCGCCGACCAGAGCAGGGGCCAGCGCAGCCAGGTGCACAATCAGAAGGGTATCTGACAAGCCTAGCTAGCTATGCGGCAGACCAGCAGCCAATGCCGGCGCCAGCGCCAGCACCAGCACAGACCCCAAAGGAGGGAACTGAGCGCAAGCGGATGATGGAGCACGAGCAGCTACAGAGAGAGCTTGATAAAGGCGAACGATGTGGTGGCGGGGCCGAGGATCTGGCGGTTTTTGTGAATGGGAGAGGGATAGAGGATTGGGATGAGGGCAGCTGGATGGGGCGCATTTGGGAGAAATAGTCATTTTCTTCTAGGGTGAAGGGAATGTGCAGGAGGAGTATACGTGTATTATAGTATTGGTTTGGGATTGGGATAAGTTGTCATTCGATTGTTCTTGCCGTTGTTGTACGTATTACTTTCTATGGGGTTTTCTTCTTCTTTTTTCTCTTTCCTTTTTTGTTATTCTTAGTTCTAGTTTTATTCTATCCACTTCTTTTCTTTTCTTCTTCTTTCTTGGTTTCTTTTTGGGGCGATAGGGACTGGTCCTGGGGAGCGGGAGTGTTTGGGGAGAGTAGGATAAGATAAGAGGATACGATAAGACATGGAGATTCAAGCACAGAGTACAAGAGGAATGGCAAAGAATATTGTATTGGGCTATCATGCACACACGGGTATTTTTTTTTTACTTCCGTTTTTTTAAGAGTCAAAAATTTCTACTAACAAAAAAATTGTATTACTATCATTTTTACCCGTTTTATTTTTTTTCTTCTTTTTTCTTTACCGGTTGTGTGGTTTGGGGATCAGTGGATGGATGCCAGCGAGCGAGCGTGTCGGTTTCGGTCTTTTTTTTTTTTTTTTTTTTTTGTGGGTGATTCTGTTCAACGTAACTATTAGGGCCAAAGGGGCTGGGCTGGGTTTAAAAAAAATTATATATTTTACTCTATGATCATTGATTTATGAAGTTCGGCGCGTGAGGTTGAAAATGTGGTGGTTTTGATCATTGGCTCTTCGGTGTGTGTGTGGGGGGGGGGTCAATGATCGTTATTGCTGGGTATATGGGTTAGGTATGGAGCACTCACTGGTTGGGGATTGGGATTTTGGGATTTTGGGATTGTGGGATTTGGGATTTGAAGGATGAGGAGAAAGAGAGAGGGGGGGGAGGGGAGATGCTCAGTGATCCGGCCTCCCAACCATATTTCCCTTCTTTCTTTTTCTGTGTATACATGTATTTATATCCCCTCTCCTAGGCCTCTCTTCCTCCGCGTTCTTTCGGCCCGCCGGCGTATGTATGCAATACAACACAACACACACACCTAGAACACCGTACCGATACGCCCCTATCAAACCAACCAACCACCTCGCCATGATGACGATGCTTCTGTTGCTAATATTGGGGGATGTAGATACAGACGTGGTCCCCTTCGCGGATAGCTAGCCTAGTGTAGGTAGGTAGCTACGTACGTATAAGCGTGGCCACTCCATCGATCTATATCTATACCTATAGCGAGATCTATTTAAAGGGTCTTTACGGGCTCGAGCTATTTATATCCATGGCGACGTCCCTTATCCCCGTGGGGTGTGTGTGGGGGGGGGCGGCGGGGGGGGGGCGGGGGGCGGGGGCGAGGCGATTAATTACGGCCCGATCGATAGGATACACCTATAGCTAGGTGGGTGTAGGTGATGGCTGGCGCCGACGGGCCTAACCCTACACCGGCGCGGGGGGGGGGGGGCGAATCCCGGACCGGAGCTCCGAGCCGGTGATCACGGTGCCCGTTTATACTTAAGTAGCTCGCCGGCTTCGGTTGGGTTGGGTACGGTGTGGTGATGGAGACAGTGCGTCGGGTGGGCTCCAGTACCGGATCTGGCAGGATACCGCGGGGTTACGGTGGAGTGGTGGGATTCGGGTTTAGTTCGGGGGGTTCTTGCGCGGTTCCGTGCCCGTTTTTGGTACTCCTACGACTGCCACGCGAGTTCTGGATGGCAGAGGGTGTGGTGGGCTGGCCTGCCCGGTCAGAAGGTGTTCGGACAGGTCCAGCCCACTTGAATTTACCCCCGGACCGGGCCAGTCTAGTTAGTCCAGATAGCATTGGTCCGGACCACAATGGGCCTGGGCCCGCCGCCCGCCGCGGGGGGGGGGGGGGGGGGGTAGGGTTAAACAACCTTTTGTACGGGCCAAAAGAAACGCTAGGATCGGTCCAGACCATCTCGTCCGTGGCCTTGGTCCAGTGTATGGCGGATGAGGTGGTGCGCTTCGGGGTCCGGAGGCGAGAGGTTCTGGTAGTGGTGTGTGTATGTAATGGTTAGCACATATCGCCGTGGTGGGATTTGGGTATTCGCCACTCTGGGAAGGTGGTGTGGGTGGCAGGACGGGCTGGTCATGGGGTATCACTCGGTTTTTCATGGAGGCGGGGTGGGATTGGCCGATGGGCGGTGCTTGGTGGCCGGGGGGGGGGGGGCGGCGGCGGTAGTATACGCCTGGGGTTTGGTAATTTTGAGGCGGGATTGTGTTGAGGGTGCAGTGATTGGAGTGCTTAGGTCGCGGCTGGGTTACATGGAAGGAGTGGAGTGGAGTGTTGGGCAAATCGTAAAGGCATTTGTCTGGGCTAGTGTTTCCTAATCATACTACACTACGTATACTATATTAAGATCTCCAAACTTGTTCCAGAGATCCTCAATGGTGTACAACCCAATCAAAGTGGTAACAAACAATCCAACCTATTTGACACTGCACACACACCCAATCGACAATCCGGTAATCCCTACAAGTACTTCATTAAGCTTTGCTGTATTTGCTCTCACGGACACCGTCACCGTCTCAAAAGCGTTATCTACCACTACTACTATCAACCGATCTTCTGCTACCACATCTGTTGTCGGAACCGCATCTGGCTCTAAAGCTACGAGTACGAGCCTACCCGCTGCTATTCCAATACATGATGTATCGGTCGGGGCTTGAGAATATGTGGCCGGGGTGAGTGTTGCGGGAAAGACAGGGCCGGCTCGGGTCGGGCTGTTGCCTGGACGGGGGGACTCTCGGTATCTACGCCGGTTGGAGTAAGTTGGTGCGTAGATGACAACATGACTCCGCAGTGTCTTCTTACCCGCAGCTCCTCCCCACGTCTGCTTCACTTCAGGCCTTCAATGACGTCCATCCTTGTTGTCCCTTCCTATCCCGAGTATAACATGTCTCGACGTTCTCAGCAGACCAACAGCTTCTCCGCCTTCTGGTGGATCCCCCCCCCCCCCCCCCCCCCCCCCCCGGGGCCGTTGGTTAGCGGAGCCACATGATCTATCGCAGTACAGACAGCTCCTGGTGTACGTACTGGTGGTTTGTCGGCCCATCACATGCTCTTCAGTGTTTACAAGATGAAAATGTTTATGCTTCTCGGGGAGGCTCAAAGTCTATCTACGTCGGTATGTGGTTTTTTGGGGGGAGAGTGTTTCTCTGCTGCTGCTCAGTTGTAGTTTCCTCACGATAACTAAGAGCGCTGTTCTGGCTCTGTTGTAGCCCCGTGAGCATATACTTGGTTGTTATATGTTTCACTCTGTCGAGGAGCACAGGTACGTGTAACCCCTTGCATCGTCATCAGAGGTGCAACTCGCCAACACTCGCAGATATACAAACTATGTACGCACCAGCTGCGGCCGATCATCTACACCATGATTGGGAGGATCGACATTCCAAGATCTTGGGCCTGCATAGGGAGGCGGGGACATGTGTTGTGTGGAAGCATAGCCGCATTCGGCAGAACAATGCGTTAGAGAGAGAGCCGCTTCGGACCCACCCAGCTTCGGCATGATCAATACCCCGAGCTTGATTTGTCTTGAAGAAAGCGCAACATTTGCCCCGAGAAAAAAAAAAAAAAAAAACAGTGTTGGACGTACTGAAGCTACGGTGCCTTCGGAGCTCTGTGATCCGCGGTCGGTTGTCACGCAGCTCCGCCCACGGGTGCTCATCCGCGGAGCGGGGCGAATAACTCTGGATTGAGCGACTTACTTGGATATCGCAGCGCCTCTTTCGGGTTTCAGCACCCATCAAGGACCATGTGAGGGGCCTCCGAGGTATCTTATACTCGTATTTTCCTGACGTTTGTGGACGCGACTGATATTGCATGCCATACAAAAATACGCCAAGCTCATGATTTTGGGTGTATGCAATAATGACCCAGTTCAAAAACGTCAGAACGATACTAGTATATGTCGTACATGAACGGGTTAGACTCACCCGTCCGTTTTAACAGTTAGACCAGGGGTTCGCGGTGATGGGGCCTCTTATTGATCCGTGAACATCGAGCTGATCTCCCGCAATTAGAGAACATCATGCACAACGCGCGGAGGCCCGGCAGCGGTATCATATCATCTCATCTCACGTATGTTAATAGTGCATCCACGGTCGAGAAGCTTCGATAACCGAAACTAATCTATCAGCAGCAACTCGGACTGCATTGCGGTTGATCAATGTCGTCCTTGAGTCTAGGGCGCTAAATAAACTGCAACTAATATTCGTATCATGAATCATCACTCGATGCCAAGACACACTAGCGTCTGGCTTTATCGGATTTTTTTTTAATTGTATGTAGACCTTAGTTTATGATAATATCACACTGCCCCAGAACTTCCCAATCGCTTCCTCCGCCTCTCACAGCATAAACAAAAATAAAACAAAAACGGCTTTATCGGATCAGAGTTGTGGGGTAGGTGGTCACTGTCACATTTATCTTCAATTGGATCTGTAATCTCGGATCACTATTTGGAATCCCGATTGACTCTTCCCCACTCCACATGTCTTGGGGATTTACTTTTTTCTATAAGCCCCCCCTGGAAGTTGCACAGACGTGAATATGTCACACATGGACATAGGAATTAATAGTATCTATTTCCCCGTGGAGACTTGATGGCATGTATAGGTGGGCTTGGCGAAAGCTGGCCCTGGGAATCCCATTTTGGGACAACCCGATGAAGTGCTTGAGAAGAAGGAATAAACTGATAACTATTGCGAGTTGTCAAAAATAATGGGACGCAACAGGCTTCAACGTAACAATCTCCCAACCACGACCGACCGCAAAGAGACCACAAATAAGAGAAAAGATGATAAGAAATACTAGAGGCACAAAATATATTTTCATTCCGTGTTAGTTCGTTGGTGGTGGGGTTGGGTGGCCGTTGCGGTGTCCTGTTGCGTCCCATTATTTTTGACAACCCGCAATAGGTTCAGATGCTTCGTCGCGCCAGTACACGCGTCCGCACAGTGAGGATGTTCCCGATGAATTTCACATGGGCGAGTCGCTCTGGTTTATCATGGGGTAGTGCAAGGCGTATCAGCCTACAGATTGGAGAAGTCTCAAGGAAAGCAGAAAAAAAAAAACCTGGTTGAACTAGGTGTATTGGCTGAAATGGATACTATCAAATGGACACACACAAGAAAGCCACAAGGCGGGGTTCGGGCGACAAATGGTCATCCGAAAAGGCTATTTTACGTGTCGAGCTCTTATAAAAGCCCACGAATCTTCCATACAACCCTCTCAGCGGCCGCACTACTCATCAATTCACATTAAACAAGTATCATGATTAGACTCGCAGGAAACGCTCTCATCACTGGCGCGGGTACATCTTTTTTCACTGTCCTTTACCTTGGTTAGTCTTTTTATTAATCTGATATAGGACTGGGTATTGGTAGAGCTACAACTCTAGCATACGCCAAAGCCGGTGCCGCTGGAATCGCGATTGCAGATGTGAATATAGAAAGGCTCAAGGCTGTTGCAGCTGAGGCGAAGAAGATTGCCACGAACAAGAGCTTTGAGGTGGTTCCTGTGCACACAGACGTAACCAATGAGGAATCCGTTCGAAACATGGTTGAAACGACCGTCAAATCCCTGGGACGAATCGATTATGCATGTAACATTGCTGGAGTGCGTAAACCCCCTCCATATTATCTCATTATTAAGGAATAGCTTTCCCTCTAGGGCTTTACTCACACCCGCTTGTATGTATGTAGATGGCAGTCCAGAAGAACACCCTGGCCTGCAATGTAACAAAGGAAGAGTGGGACTTTACGAACAATGTAAACGTCAACGGAGTACTCTTCTGCCAGCGCGAAGAACTCAAAGCAATGATGAAGCAAGACCTAGAATCCTGGGAAGGCCGAGACGGGTTCCGGGGGTCGATCGTCAACATGTCCTCCGTGGCCGGGTTCTTTGCAGCCCACAGCGCAATCACTTACATAGCCGGCAAGCACGCCGTGATCGGGATGAGTAGAACCGCTGGTACGTACAACGCCCCCACCCCCCACCCCCCACCCCCCACAACTACCCACCCTTTATCTTTTGCTCATAGACACTCTGTATATAGCTCTCGATCATGCACCCGATGGCATCAGGGTCAACTCGGTCTGCCCGGGCCCCGTGGGAACGGAAATGCTCACCCGCATGAGCCCCACCGCGGACTTTCCGGGCTCGACAATGCAGAAGCGCATTGGCACGCCGGAGGAGATCGCGGATGTGGTGGTGTTTTTGGGCAGTCCGATGGCGAGCTATGTTACGGGTGCGTCGTGGATAGTGGATGGTGGGTATTGCGCGTTTTAAGGTTTGATGAGGCAGTTGGGGGGGGGGGGGAGTTCTGTGGTTCGGGAGGGCTTGGGTGCGTGGCTGGGTCGCGGGATATGTAGGCTTTGGTTTCTTCTCCGTCTCTGGGGGGTAGACAGAAATAAATGAAGGCTGCGTAAGGGAAAAGTGGTTGTGTGGTGTGTTGTAGCTGTAGTTGACTACTATTCATATAGTGTAGTGCATGGGTCTGCGGAACGCTATGTGTACGTTCCAGGCAAGTCTTGTTGGCCAAGCCAATGGTCCAATATAATACGACCCTGGCCCAGCTTACTCGAGGATTGGGCTCCCGTAACTACGTATATCCAAAGATCCCGATACCAGCCACAAGGTAGCATTATATGACGTGACCATACCTGCCATTATACGTTACATGTGGGATCGATACCCTCATCCTCACACTTATTTTGCTTTTAATCTACCTCGCCTTGTATTGAACGGTAGTTGTCCATGACGCTTAGTGCTAATGACAGTCCTGTAAAGCAAAGCCATTGTTAATTCGAGCTTTTAGACGTGTCAGGTATTATTAGGTATAAAAGAGGAACCATCGTTGCGTGTAGTGTAGGAGTACTAGCTGTGTAGAGGTTGGCCATGAGTGTTGTTTAAGTTGATGTTTAGATGAAACTGAGCTGCAGCTGACGAACACAGCAGGTAAGAAGATAGCAGTTAGGCAGACAGTGTTTAAACAATTAGTACATAGTTAACCGAGCAAAGTCCGTGTGTTGACCAATCGCTACCCACCACTAAGTAAAAAAATAAAGCAGTCTTCTACGCCCGCATATGAACGAAGCATGAAACTAACCACCAGGACATAAAACACCACGTCAAACCCGAGATTCGGAAACAAACCCATCCCACGTAGTGCGGTCCGCAGCTCAATCTGACTCGAGCTCTGGCTTGTTGAGGTCGGGAGAAGTCCTCATATCATCAATCTAGCCCAAGCCAGGCTTCGTAATGGGTCAGCCCTTTTTAGGTCAGCCCGGGTCGTATCCTGGGTAGCTGAGCCGGGTTCTCCATTTCCGAGAATAAGTTGGGCCACTAGGTAAATCGAGATATTCTACCAGGAAATCTCCAGTAAGTGCATAATTTCTATACCGGTCGTTTTTGCATAGGATTTTGTGTCGTGTGATATCTTGTTAATTCATTTATTATATGCGGTCCGAAGGCTATGAGAATGCCGCATTCTCTCGTGGAAATCGCTAATGCCTACAGGTTCTTTGACATCCGCGCCCTTTTGCGTCTTACCTGGGCTAAACGGAAGCCCGGGGAAAGGGTATTGAGTCGGTTGATTTGACGGGTCGGGCGGGCGGGTTTTTCGGATCCGGGTATACCCATTGAGTAGCCTGCTCCGAACGGCCATATGTATCCCATAATTTACCTCATCTTGTCCCTCAGCTCTCCCGGTGGTGTTCTGTGCAGTGCACTTAAGCTTGTTGGTAAGGATATCCCACATCCTCCGGCGCGAGCCGTTTTGTGAACCTTTGTTATAGCTCGAGCCGGCTTATCCTGGCGGAGCACGTTGAAATGTCCATGTCTGGCTGCCGGGAGTTGTCGGTGGTGGTTATGGTGATGCATAGCTAGTTGCCCTCCTGGGGAGATGAGGGTGGGGCTATATGTAGCATAGCATAGTGGCGGCCCCCCCCCGGGGGGGGGGGGGGGGTGGTGGTAGCGCGCGTCGTGGTCTTTTTATTTCTAAGCTGGCCCTGTATGGTTGCATGCGTTCATTTATGATGAGTAACCCTCAATAGTTTTGTTATTTATAGAAAGCACTACCTGGTGTCAGGGCATCTCGTTGAAGCCGATTCATTCCCCATCATCTGTGGTTAATTAAGGCTTCCACGCGCGCGCTGGCCCAATTGTGGTGGTGGTGGGTGTCACTATGCTGGCCCAAATCGGTGTGTGCGACGGTGGTGTGGGTGTCGAGTGCTTGTGCTTGGGGTACTCGGTGTTCGACGTTTGGTTTTGTGGCCGGAGTAGTATCTCTTGCTTGTCTGACATAGTCGCCACATGTGTTGGCCAGCGAGTCCTCAAACCCAAATATCCATCATGACCTCTGACTCAGTCAATGGGTCAATCACAAACTATCACTAACCACCCTATCCGTCACCACCCATGACTCGGTCTCCGATCCCCATCACCAGCGATGGCTCGGTTATGAAGTATTCGGATCACGAACCATCACCAACGCCTTCCCTCCTCATCACCACCTCTGACTCGGCCAGATCGGCAATCCAATCACGAACTATCACCCACCACCTTATCCACCCGTACCCCATCGCTGCAGATGACTCGTCCAGTCACCAACCCTCGCTTGGTACACTGGTCCACAAAATCATACAATCTCACTCAGCCGATGGTGCGTCATATGCCATCACCCGCACCCCAGTTTGTCAATCACTAAATATCACTCGTCATAAATTAGGATAGTGCCGAGTCGAGTGAGTTGTTGTGAGTCTGTCTGTTTGGGCTATGGGGTGCCACTCGGATGGCTTGTCAGCTCACGGTGTTGTTTGTGGCGGTTTATGGGTGTCTTTGCGGTAGTGCAGCGCTTCAGTAGCAGCAGATCCTAAGGCCTGCTCTGAGGGATGTGTCTCTGGAACGCGGGACTCCGAAAGATTCAGAGGTATTTTCGCCGTGCCGCTAGTTAGCGGGTAGGAGCGGATTTGATAGCTCTGGTGCTCGCAGTTAAGAACGAGTCTCGGTCGCTGCTCGTAATGGCCTGACTGTTCGTGGAGCACACAGGTTGTGTTCTGATACGCATGCTAACTAGCCATCTCTACGAGGTTGGGAAATACATTAGTAAATGTATCACTTTTTTGTATGGGGAAATGAATCAGTAAATGTGTAGGGAAAGGAATCTCCCTACACGTTTCCCACACCTTTCCTGGTTCATTTCCCGATACATTCCCCAAACTCGTAGGGTGTGCAATTGCCCGAACGCGGGAAGTCTTTCCCGCTCACTATGTTAGCTCTGGATAGCACGAAGAACACGTATATGGAACCTAATATACGCCTATCCAGCGGACCTCAAAGGAGTATAAACCCCCCCCCCCCCCCCCTTTTCTCGATTTGAGGAAAGTTCCCTTCTTCCCCGCTTCTTCACCGAGGTCCCGCTTATGTGTGTTTCAAACGGTGCATGTGGCTTCTGTTCATCTATGCGGGCAACATCTGATGATGTCTCGATGTACTCAGTAGCATATTGGGCTCTGATGTAGAATAGCACGAGGCGGCGGGTGTGCATAGGTCGAGAATGTGGGACATCTTATACGTTGGATGGAGACGTAACTTCTTGATGGGCAAAGAAATGCTGTGATGAGGGTGTGCGAGGTAGGAGGTAGGGAGGGTGTATTTTAAGGAGGGGTGATAAAACGTCGGTTAAGCATCAGTGTGGGAAAAATAAAGTTTACAGTGTTCCGGCTTGTGAAACAGTCTCTCCCGTCAGCTGGGTACATGTAACTACAATCATAGCGCCACCGGCTCGATCGAGCTTACCCACCCACCCTGTTCTTCGTCCTTACGTCTATAGGCTACATGCAGCCCGGTCACCTCTCAAATCGATGGATGCAGCAGTTAGGTTCCCGGAGTACTCTACACTCCGCTGCAGCTGGTGGATCATACCTCGTGTTCATCACCTGGAGACGAGGTTCTTCGGCGGTCGGATGGATGTAGCGACTACGCACCATGCATAGGGCCCTGGCCACGAATCAAAGAAGAATGACAGGCACCACGCACTCAGAAATACAGCGACTAACGTTATAACTCCAGCACCGACGCTGCTTCAACGCTTCACCCGCTCAGTCAAGGCTCCTGTTCCAGACCATAAAGCAGGAGGGACCTGTAAGGGGTTTGGGTGAGAGACCAGGATGCCGGAACTCAAACCGACAAAGCCACGAAGGGAGAGAAAGAGTTTTCGGCAGCTTTTACTTTAGACAGCTAATTGAAGTACGTGGGAATGGTAGAGCTGCTTCCGCATCGTTTACAACATGATCACACACACCTCCCACGCCAGCAGTAGAAGTGGGAGACATTGATACAAGTATCTACACTACTAACAACCCATCGCGTGTAAGATGCACAGATATCTCTACACCACGGCCTATCGATCTCTTCTGGTATCAAACTCTCATCCACCACGGAGCGCCAGCGCACCAGCATAACCAACGGCGGCTAATCCCCCGTCTATCACGAAAGAAGACCATCAGAAGAAAATCCAACAACATCCTCCCCATTCACCACCCAGCGCCAAGAAGGCCTCGCTAGTTCCGCCACCTATATCTTAGTTATCGGCCTAGCCAATCCGGAGGCAATGATCTATGCCGAAACAATGGTCATAGTGAATTCCTCGGAATGGTCATAATGGGATACTAGTTTTCATATCTTTTTAATTGATATTGGAGTGCGAGAAGACACGTCTCACACTATAATCCAAGAATTCAAGTTCAGAGGTCCGGAATCGTCAACAGCGGGTTGGTCGGAGGTACTATTCGAACCTCGGCATTGGGAAGTCAGATTTAAACATAGAATCCTCGGTATGCATCGCTGGCATTTCCGAACCTTAACTCTCAAAGCAGACTACTAGGCTACATGTATGCATCCATCTAGATCCAGGTTGAGGAGAAAAGAAAATGCAATGTTCCCGACAATCCCGAAGCGAACTGCCATTCACGATCCGGAGAGTACAAGAGGAAAAACAATGTTCAATGGAGACCACTGAACTTGGATATGGTTCCAGAGGGGGTCGAACCCTCGACCTTGGCGTTAACTCTCAACCCTGAGAGACGAACCCTGCAAGGAATGATATTAGCACCACGCGCTAACCAACTGAGCCATGGAACCGTGCTGCATTGCCACGCCTCACCCAAAATCACTCGGTTCTGGACCTGGAGCAAGAAGCGCCAATCTATCTCAGCGTTTGTGCCATTTTACGAAGGACGTCGCCCTTTATTGAATGGGGGTAGATGGATCGTTGTGTAAGTAATAACGTAGCCTCGCTGTCTACTATCAGTGTTTTCAAGTACCTGTTCGACTCAGCACTTAGCTCATTCAACTCGATGACCCTATTTAACTTGACGTTCCCGTTCAAGAGATTGGGTCCCGAAAACCGGAAGTCGCCGCTTAATGTTTAGGCCCTGTTCGGACGGGCGTGTTATTCAATACATCTGTGGTAAACTCGGTTGCATGGTAATAAAACCAAGTATTCGCCAAAGACGATGGAGTTGAGATATTGTTGGGTAGATCAGGCGTGAAGATACCTCCAGAGGCACCTGTTAAAACCATGGTATTTTGTGGCGTATTCATGGTATCAAAACCAATAATTTAGGCCATCCGAACAGAGCCTCAGTGACAATACTCAACCTGAGCTGGTCGATATTCATGATAGTTCTGTTGGCTTGGTGCCCCGCGCGACTTGGGAGTTTCCGCGATCAGCTTACTTAATTCCTCTAGTGGGAACGGATTTCCTCTAGCGGCCGTGTTACTGCGAGTATGTGAAGATTGAGTGCTGGGCTTGTTTGATTGTTGCTGTTGCATACATATGAGGCCGTCTACAACGTTGGGTGGCCGCATTGCAATCCTGACCCTTACCTTGACTGAGTCGGTCACAAATGGATCAGAGGTCTTACATGTACTTACTTTAACGCCGGAACCTGGTTTTTTATAAGACGAATTTTTCAAATTAAGCCTTGGACACGTCTTATGTCTGGGGAAAGGCCAAACTTGGCCATAAGCGTTAATTGGTTTAAAGCTTTATTTTGTGTAAGAGTTTCTCAAAAATGAGGAATATATAAGTCTTATTTTTTGTATATGCATTAAATCTAGGTAATTATTATCAAATAGCTTAAGCCTTTATAATAGATCTGTCTTATTTATGAATAAAGGCTTTTTGGAGAATAAGGCTTAAAAATTCGAATTTTACTAGCATTGTATCGGCTATCTAGTTTGTATATTACTTCCAGGACTGGAATTTCAGTTCTCCCATACCTCAGTGGGTAGCATGAAGTATACGCTACCTACAAGGCTGCAGATTCAACTTCTTATCTTTTACTTTTTCCCCTTTTTCGCTATCATGGATATAATTATTATTCCAGAGATAATCCTTTAATATCACATTATCGTTTCTGTGGCTAATAATTATCCAATCCAAGAGCTTATTAAGTGATTATACAGGAAATAATCGTTATTGATGAATAACGATTAAATAACGATTATTTGACCTCCTATATTGCGCGACTGTGTACAGTGCCCCAATACCACATTTCGCATTTTACTGGGATCGTGCGCAGTGGCAGCCTATGTATAAGCTGCAGCATTGTAACATCAACTTATACTTTACCGGTTTTGAGGGGTAAAAAATAAGTATTATCCGGATGAAAGGAACACCGAGAACCGCGTTCTACTTCCACATCGATATACTCCCCAGCGAGTCTCATCCCCACCATCTACGCATTCTAGAAATCCCATTCAGGGTACACTGGCAAAAGCCTCCAGCTATTTTCACAAGACGGCAGCATTCCTTCGGACCTATAGTTTCAGTTTGTATTTTCCTAGCGTTTCTTTTCTTTAGTATATATCTGGTTGAGAATTTCGTTTTGTGGCTTTTTCAGCACGTGAGCGGTATGTTAGCTATATTAGGGGAAGAGTCTTTTACACTATAGTTTCTACTGTATGTGATCATTTCTACTAAGAATTAAGTTGAAAATGATATATATATAAAAAGAAAAAACACCGAAAGCCACGTTTTTTGCATCACACCTTATACCGGATATATTGGAGGTAATGTTAATAGCTAATGGTTTTCAGATATGGTACTCAAAATAAGCTGTTCTCTGTTAACAATACATCTAGGTATGCCTGCCCTGATCTACAATGTTATTACGCCAGAAAGAATCTATTCTTTCTAATGGCCGTGGAATGACTGAGGTATTGTAATGAAGCCATTTCAACAATCTGTTATATGAGTACATCCAGGACCCAGTTACATGCTGAGAGTTATTGTTAGAAGCCAGTTGTACAATGATATGCAAGTACCGGCCGTGTGGTTAGCTATTAGCTATTAGAGTAACTACATTCTGGGCACTAGAAAGGGGATCTATTCATGGGAGCAATGATTGATAAGTATATGCCTCACCAGTGACTAGAAGGGTGCCCAGAGTGAAGCTCTGAATTCCCGGTTGTAACGGAGCTATTTCAACTATCAGGTGTATGAGCACACATATGGTTCAGTTACATTCTGAGAGTTATTGTTAGGAGCTAGTTGCACAGTGATATGCAAGTACTGCCAGTGTGGTTAGGTATCAGCTGTTAGAGTAACTAGATTCTGGGTGCTAGGAAGGGGATCTATTCATGGAAGCAATGGCTGATGAGTCTATGCCTCACCAGTGACTAGAAGGCTGGCCTGAGTGAAGCTCTGAATGCCCAGTGATCCTCTGTATTCTCTGAGCATGCAGTCCTGCCAGTAATGACAGGGACTATTCCTGAGAAGTCTACAATAAGTGGAAGGTCTACAGCAATGATTAAGCTTACATCTGAGCGGCAGCTCATTCATGCAGGCCCTGGTTGTGTGACAACCAAGGCTGCAGGTGTTACGAAAAGCTTTGACTAAGGGTGGTTGCCTTGGGTATCGGAAACACCTGCTGACGCTTAGAGAAAAGCGGGGTAGCGGTGGTATTGTTTCCGGCACCGAGGAAAGGCTTCACCGGAATTTAGTAAGGAGTTAGGAGCAGAGAATAGAGGCCTTTGGAGTATAAGTACTCAGGTTCATTCCCGCCCTTCAGTCCTGTTCTCTCCAGTCTTCATGAGAAAGAAAAACCAAGTTCTTATCGGTAGTAGAGTCCTTAAAGATTATTGAGTTCTAGCGATAGTATCTTTGAATAATCTGCAACCTGATTGTCTATCTTGCACGGCCGTCTCAATTCTACTTTATTCTATTTCTCTTAGAAGAGACCCCCGTTACACTGGCCTTCTAGTCACTGGCGAGGAATATACTCGTCAGTCATTGCTCCCATGAATAGATCCCCTTCCTAGTGCCCAGAATGTAGTTACTCTAACAGCTAGTAGCTAACCACACTGCCGGTACTTGCATATCACCGTGCAACTGGCTTCTAACAATAACTCTCAGCATGTAACTGGGCCCTGTGTGTACTCATACACCAGACAGTTGAAATGGCTCAGTTACAGAATGTTGCTGTTTTTCTTTGACTACAGTACTTCTAACTAGGCAGTATTATAGGACGGGATTCTAGGATAGGTACCGAGGCTTGGATCGACTCGGATACGTTCTTGGACTTGGACCGGAGACCGGGCTCAGTACTGATCGAAAATAGAATATATTGCTAACAAACAGAATGAATACGTTGCGTAAAGAAGGTAGAAAAAGAAGTATAGAGAGAGGAGATGAAGCCCTGAACATAAACTCCAAAGAGAAATGTGATGACTAACCCCAGCAACCAAACCTAAAGAAATATCAAGCGAACATAATGAAATCCTATAACCGATCCCGATCCTTCTTCCCGCAATCCTAACCCGAATCACCTAGCGCTTACTGTATCTTCCGAACACCTTCTTATCTCATTCAATATAACCGATGCCATCCCGGTTCTTCACCCAATGATACAATTTCGCAGAGTTCTCGATTGCAAGGCGGGTAGGGGCAGTCAGGCTGTGATGGTATTGTACATGGAACCAACTTGCGAGAGTTATTACTCTGCCTAGATATGAATATATTTCTTATGCGAATAGAATGCTGACCTTTCAAGTAGTGAGTTAATGGGAGACTTATAGCCTCCTTCCCCCCTCTTTCCTTCTTACCCCATGTTCGTCGTTTAGTTGGATACAGTTCTATAGAGAACTCTTATATAAGAAATATGTTAAGGAGTGACATAATAGTATAACAGAGACTATGACATACCTGATGAAGCCTCCAGACTCCCATAAATGAATCTGGCTCATTGAATAATAATCATTCATAGTGAACTAAATTTAGATAGGCAACTTTGTACAATTTCAGAGGCGACACCTCTGTCTCCGACATTCGGTGCATTAATATGCGACATTGGGTTAGCATCTCACCAAAAACCCAATTTTCAGAAATTCAATCATTCAACAACCACAATAGATAACATTAATTAGGCTATGTTACAGTGTTACTTACCTCTTCCTCTATCATCCTACATATCTATTTTGGTTTTAATATGTTGCGGTGGTTGGCCATTAAGTTTCAAACTTCGGTAACTTTGACACTCCGACTCAAGGTGTCCCAACTATGGGTCCAAAAATCTTGTTAGGTAATCTGCTGCACACTGCATAATTCAAACCCGGCGCTTGACTTGCCCTATGTAGAGTAATTATAATGATAGCATTGAGATTTCAAGAAATTCCCATAAACAGTATTTTTTTGCACTAAGTTGCCGAGGGACTCTAGAGCAAAAGATTCTAAGGAGATCTCGCACTCGGCCTACCTGGCGATATATAACAAGGTACAAGACCATGCAGCTGATCACTCCACTCGTCAAGCGATCATGCAAAATAATCTCTTCTTTCTTAGTCCCTGGTATCTGTGCCGTGCGTATTTAATATTATTATTACAGTCGTTCATGAATATTAGTTTGAGTAAAGAGGGAACAAGAGTTCTCAATATGGCAAGAAACAGCCAAGCTGCCAAAGCGATCTTTCCTATGGTTTCCTATTTGTCCAAAAGTCACTGTTCGTCTATATACAGTATTCGTACTCACTCCGTGAACGACTGTAATAATGCTCCGGGGAAAAGGTAAACTGTGACCAATAGATACGGTAGAGTATATACTTATATCCCGGTCTCATACAGGCGAAGCTATATCTAGACTGCCGACTGAGATATCTTCGACGCTATTTCTACGCTAACAAAAACCTAGCAAGTGATACGTGAACCCGAAATATCATGAGGATCTGAATAATTACAAGAAGTGCAGTAATATTACACTATTTAATCATGATGAAAATAGAATATACAGATTGGATCGTGAACTGAAAATACAAACAAATCATATAACACCTACAGAGTTAAGGTTCAATTGGTACTACCTACATGTAGGTAATCTACGTCTGTTCTAGTAAGTATATATGTACATACCTACTCTACTCTAGTATCACAGTACCAGACACTTTTTCCTTGAGCAGCTGGTCTTGCGGCCTGCCATATGTGTCGGAATTAAAAACTGTGTGTAGTGATCGAGATTCTAGGGTTTCAACTATGCTGGTTATCAGTGCACCTCTGAAATGAAGATGAGAAGTGTATAAGACATTAATAAACAGGTGAAGTCAATGGGCAGATGCATGTGTTTGGCTCTATTCGAAATATTCCACAGAGACCAGTTCCCCCACTCTACGGATATCAACGCATATGCGCATCAGAATCCAAAAGATTCAGAAGGCTGAAAGAAACCATACAAGAAGACACGGTATCATTCAACACTACATGTAAGTAGGTAGGTACTCAAGAGTCCGTATAATTTTTTTTTGTTTCATAGTTTCTATTGTTTCTGGGTATATGAATATCACATGAAGCCTAAGCTATGGCATGAACAAACCCCTTCTATTCCCCGCCTGGTCCCTTGTTATAGTAACTATGGTCTGATACCAACCGCAAATCTTCTTACAAAGCATACGACAAGAAACTTCCCCTGACTTCCACAAAACGAAAAATACAAAAAAGGAGAGGCAAAAGAGTAACCAAATAGCTAATATAGTCATACCGCCCGATGGGTCCGCGATCGAATGCACTGTAATATCGAAAGGGAACTCCTCCCCACGGAGCTGAGCCTGTGTCAAGAATTTAGCCGCTACCCAGCCGGTAGAAAGAGATTAACCGAACTTAGTCAAGGCTTGGTCCAGTTGTTGAGAGAGAGGAACTGCCATGTTTACTGTTTTCCACGGTCTCGTAGGCTGCACTATCTTCGCATTTCTGGTGAGGATGCGTTACCCGGGGAGAGAAAAGAGTTGGAGTTCTTCGGTGAGAAGGAGACTTTGGAGAGAGGAGAAGGGTTCAACCCGAGGAGGAGACGGCCAAGAGTATACATTGTACCTGAGAAGGAGGCTATCCCCAGAGGGAAGAAGGAGTGAGAGGAAGGACTGGCGTTGGCAATGAAGCCTAAGCAAAGTCTTTAGAGGAGGTGTGACCCCGCTCTTCATCAAATCTTGGCGGAGTTGAGGAAGAGTGTTGAAGGAACAAGAAGGGATGCTAGAGTTCATACCCTACTCTATCTACATGTATGTAAAGTAAGCACTTGCTGTCTCATGCGGGTTGAAATGAATTGGTGGCGCAGGGTTGCAACCACCGCCACACAGCCCCTGGCCTGTTTCTTAGCATTCATGTCAACCGATGAGTGGTTTTTATTATTTACGTCATCCGGCCCTTGAACCAACGAACCCCACAACCCACAACCGGAACTCACAGAACACCGTCAACACCACCAGACCGCCCAACCTCCAACACCAACACCACTAGACACCCCAACCATCTAGCTGCACACAGTAGTCTAGCCATGAACCTGATATACGCCGCGGTCGCAACGACGCTCCTGGTCATCCGTGCCATCTCCAGGAAATCCCTAACGACAAGCGGAATCATCGCTGCAATCTTCACAGCAGCCGTCCACGCGCTGCACCCATGGAACCTCCCCTTCACGCTCCTCCTCGTCTTCTACGGCCTCGGCACAGCAGCGACAAAGGTGAAGCACGACATCAAAGCCAAGCTTACTCTCTCCAGCTCGGGCACCCCCGGCGGTGAAGGCGCCCGAAACCACGTCCAGGTACCCTCCTCCCCCATGCCTGATCCTAACGTATAGCCTATACTTACCTACATGTACCTACCTACCTAGGTGTTCGCCAACAGCATCATCGCCTCCATCCTCATCCTCCTGCACACCGCCCAACTCTACGACCTCAACCTCAACACAATCACCACGCGCACCACCCCCTCCTCCCCCCTCTTCTCCCCCGCCCACGGCGCCTGCTTCGACAACACCCCCGACAACCTCCTCGTCATCGGCATCATCGCCAACTACGCCTCAACCCTCTCCGACACGCTCTCCTCCGAGCTCGGCATCCTCTCCTCCTCCCCCCCGCGCCTCATCACAACCTGGAACGTCACGCCAAAGGGCACCAACGGCGGCATCACCCTCGCCGGCATCACCGCCGGCGCCGCAGGTGCATTCATCATCGGCCTCATCGCGGCAATCATGCTGCCCGCCTGCGAGGGCGCCGAGGCGGCGTGGGGACCCTGGGAGAAGATCTGGCTAGTAGCGTTCGTGACGGTGATTGGCACTGCGGGCTCGCTGCTGGACTCGCTGCTCGGCGCGCTGTTCCAGCAGTCCGTGATCGACGTGAGGAGCAAGAAGATTGTGGAGGCGCCGAATGGCGCGAAGGTGCTTGTGGAGCCGGCGACGCATATCACGGCACAGGGGAAGCTGCATTCGGCGGTTGGGAACGCGCCGCAGTCGGCGGCGGGAGCGGTGCCGGAGCATGGTGGTGATGGGATGAGGAAGCGTGGGGGCGCGGATGAGGCGACGGTGGAGGTGACGGACAGGCCGAATAGTCGCCGGGTTATCACGGCGCAGAGGTGGGGCGTGCTGAGTAATAACCAGGTTAATTTGTTGATGGCCGCGGTTATGAGTATGGTGGCTATGGTTCTCTGGGGCGGGCTGGGGCGGGTTGGCGTTGTTCTGGCGGAGCAGGCGAAGACTGTCGTTAGGGCTGTTGTGAAGCAGGAGATTATCGGTGCGGTTGTGGGCGCTTTGTTGGCGCCGATCTTGGGGTAGGGGTTGGTGGTAGAGGGCTTTATAATACCGTATTGTGTCGTGCTCTGTTATGATGGGAGGTGTAGAGTTTGATTTACCTAACCTTTGGCTTTTTTTTCTTCCCATCGACCGCCTCCCCACCTCTCGCCTTTCCTTTATTTTCCTATGTTAGCACATATATATGATGAATAACGATGTTACTTTGGCGTATATATCCAATCCCGGCGCCAGCAGAAAACGCAACAAACTCACCGAGAACTGCTAATAAATGTTTCAAAACCAAGTGAAGTCAAATCTTGCAAAATTTAAATGCCATCATGATATATCACTCACCGCCGAGTAAATGAATTACCAAGCCAGAATGCTAGGCCCAATAATAATAATCATGATAAGACCTCTGCCAAGCCCCGCTAACTACCGATTCGGTCAAGGTAAGGGTCAGGGTTGCAATGCAGGCACGACACACCCACGCTTGGATTCTACTCTGAAGGGCAGATATCAAGTTTAGTCTTCAAACTGGAACATATTTGTATCAGCACTGGCGTTAGGAAACCCGGTTTCAGTAACTAGTGGAAGTAGATAAGCCGATCGTGATATGGCTTCAAGTCAATTGTCCACCGCCTGATACTCACGCGCGCGTTAATTGGAAGATAATCAGAATTCTGTGTACGTGTATGTGTGCCGGGGGTTTGGTTGTGGCGAATTCTGACCCTTTGATTAAGAGGCAGTTAATTGATCTTAGTCTGCAAGAAGGCGCTTAAATACAAGGGCTTAGTTGTTACTTTCTAGATAGATCACTCGCCGCAGTACTGTCTTGAGAGGTTTGGGAACAATGCGAGTAAGTACATATAGACTATTACAGTTAACAGTAGCGTAATCATGTCCCAAGTATTTGATGTTCTATCAACATGCGCCGTATGGATATGCGCTTGTCAGTCAGTAAAGCGGATACGATATGTCTCATGCTCAGGATGAGAATCTTTTGTAATTTGGAGTGGGTTATGTCGAGATCCCTACGAGTCCAAAGCCTTGACGAGATTTCTAATTAAAATTGCCATAGCTCGTGTAGAAATCGGTATTTTTGCGATGATAATAATGGCGTACTAGATGAGTTAACGATAGATCGGGGAGGTTCGTAAATGGTACTTTTCTCGCGTGTGTGCGGCTTCCCACAATACACGAGGCGTGATATTAAACCGGGGGTGTAGAATGTAGTCTTCATACTGTGATTCATTATGCTGAGCCTGCGAGGAGATCACTCTTTTTTCTTCTTTCGAGCGTCTTGGACGAGTGATACCTCATGATTGATGATATTGTACGCAAAATCACACGAGCATTGGGTATTATCCAGCACTGACAGGACAGGCTAGTATCTGGTCCGTTTCAGATCTCGAGTGCTATCGAATGATTAAGCTAATGTTTGATAAGACGAAGATTTCTTAGTTTCGTAAAGAGTCTGGGCAGCTTGGGGTTCAGTGTGTGGAACCACTGAAAGGAATCCACGGCTTTGGTTATCTACGAATAAAATTGCATTCCTTGTAGCTGGCAAACTTAATCAAAATTCATTCGATCCAGTTAAACTCTGTGGGAAGCTAACTGATGGTTGTATGTTCTGAAGACGAAAGAAGGCTCTTGTACGAGTGTAAATGCATCAGTTAGCGGCAGCATTTTGGAAAAAGACAGAAGTAAATGTACTTACTGAGGTATGTCTGTTGAGAAGACATCAATCTGTCTTTTTACTTGCTTTTTAATGTGCTTTTCCCCATATCAATCCCTTGAGCCCCATTGGCGTCGCCTTTACATGCATTCTGCTGGTCTTTTCAACTCTAGTAGCCGCGTAAATGCATCAAATGATATTTCTCCATACAAATAACGGAAAGCCGTTAAATTTAACACATTTATACCCGATGTTGTTAGTAAATGAATCTAAAGATGCACTTATATATTAGATTGTCTATGAAATATTTGTGGACAACTTGTGGACGACTTATGGACAACTTATAAACAACTTATAGATAATTTTTATATAACTTTCAGACGATTTTAATTACAATATTCTAGTCATAGCGGCGATAACAGATAAGATGATATTTCAATTCACAGCATAGAAAGTATGGTAGTAGATAGACATGGTAGTGGTTCTAGGTTCGAACCTTTCAGAGTTCTTTGCTTTTATCTTTTTTGAACCTGGAGATAATGCATCAAAATTCGTAATTTGATGCATTAAAAGATGATTAGAAGATGCATTAATTGATGCACTAATTGATGCATTTCCGAAATATACAGGTTGTTGGATAACTTTTATATGACCTTTTATAGGAATTTCTAACGAACTCGCACCATAGTAAAATTTAACACATTATTTGATGCATTTCAAAATCTATTGGAGCAACCTGAAATTGTAATTTTGATCAATCATGTTTTTCTGGCAGACAAACAGATTTGATGAAAAAATACGCTTAGAAATGTGAAAATATCTAAACGGAGTAGCCATGCGGCGTAGATCCTGTTGATTTTATCATTTCTATCATTTCTATGTTGTAGGTCGTAGTTTCCGGTAGCATGTCCCCAAGGGTTGTCAACCTCCAGGCACATTTTTTTTTATTCTGGCCTATCAAACTACAAGAAAAGAGCCTTGAACTGTGTCGTACTGTGGCATGCTGTGGCTTCCGTTTGGAAAAGATGGTGTGCAGAGGGTTGACAGCTGTAGGGATCCTTGAAACCTCTCAGGCCTTCTGCGAACGCATCTAGTGGTCACGGCGATTGGCTATCCTCGCGTAGCATGGAAGCACTTTCACAGTAATAGCACCGATGTTTGCTCGATGGCCAAGCAAATCCACCTCCCCTAAATCTATGAAAGTTATCTCGATAATAGGCTACATGGGGATAGAATCCTAGAGTCTAACGTTCACATTTCAAAATGGTTTTTGCAGATCTGATCATGATGGTGGTGGATGATCATGCCTACATGTACATGTAGGTGTTCGGGATTTAGAGCTTTTTAGTCTGCTCCCTGTATCACGCATGTCTGTCACACAGGTGTGCCATCCCCACCGTCCCCGCCACCCTTGCGGCCTCCTGCGGCCTCCTGCCGCCTTCTCAATGATATATATCCTCTATTCAGAGATAAGGGTCGAGTTACCCCATATTTGTGGCTACCTTATAGGGTTTCAGAGGATACCACAGCACCAAAAAGATATCCCAGTATCTTTGATAACTTACCATTTCCACATTGTACCGTAGGGTCTCTCTTCTTTATCTGGTGCTCTAAACCCTTGGCAACTTTGGCTCTCAAGCACTCGTATCCATTTTATAATCGGAAAAGGCGATGAGGGACACAGGTGTTCAATCGGAATATTGGCGAACTTTCAGGATTAGATACTTCGTTGTTAGAATAAGAATCTAGCAATGAAATGATATGTGTCGGGTTTCTTTTAGGGGTAGTTCGATTTGTGTTTGTTGAGTTGGAAGTTGGATCCGAACTTGTAGCTGAACGCCACAGCATGGACAGGCCTTTGTTGTGAGAGTTTTATGTTCGATACCGGGTTCTTCGGGGCAAAAATGTGGAGTTGTCATTTTGATTATTTATTTTCTTTGCTGGTGGATGAACGTTTAATATCGGGGAGATGTTTTGCTAGATATTTGTTTGCGGGAAACCTTTTTTCTGTTGTTGCCAAGAGCAGCTACACAAAATACTAATCACATACATCCAACTACACTAGTTATAGACCTTTTGGTTGAGTATCCCGCTTTTTGCACTTAGTGTATTTATGCTTAGGCTTCCGTAAGGGGTCCTAACAATGTATCTTGGGGTACTGTCGTTCACGGTGTATTGGCGGATACTCATGGGTGATGGTGGACAGGGCAAAAAAGAGACAGCCAAACCAACTTTTACCTGCAATTCGCCAATACCCAGTATCCGCCAATACCCCGTGAACGACAGTACTCGCCTCGAGTCAGAACGATTGTGATGGGACCGGGTCTTCAACCGGTCATAATGCAGGTCATATCTCTAGTACAACAAAATCCACTCTTTTAGCTCTGACTTTCGCAATAATTCTTCCGGAAACTATAGAAAGAATAAATGACTAGGTTATTTCATGCTAGTCATTTAGTAGTAAGTGGCTAGGTCCTTTTTCTAAACGACCATGGCTAAACATTGTGGGCTGAAGGTGCTGGCCTAGATGTCGGTTTGGGTATTCCATACCTGAGGCTAACGCCTCGATAAGGTGAAACCCTGCACTGGTTGCTTAGAGAGAATGGTGCGCCGCCATAGACTACGGTCTGCATGCAGATATGAGTTAAACTAAAAAAAAAAAATAAAAAAAAAAACATTGTGGGCTGTTTTTTGTATTAGCAAGAGCCTAGAATCTACGAATGGAAACAACCAAATTAATCAAATGTAACGATGAACCGAACAGACGATGATAGTATTATAGGAGAGGTGACATTACGTGTCTATGCTCGCCTATAGGGTTGAGATCTGAAGAGTAGGGGTGTATAGATTTAAGGGAAATCCCTCTCTCCTGGAGCCATCTCTTAAGTGGTAAATGTGTCTTTGCATTATCAATAATCAGATAGACCTCCTCTCCTCCATTCTCTCATTTAATCCCATCCCAAATATCTAGAAAATATGCCTCCATGACAGTGATGAGACTTCTAGAAGTAACCCCTACCCCACGAGATTTTGGATCAGGATACACATGTAAGAACAACCCATATTTCTGCTCCATAAAATAGCCAGTCATCATCTGACTTACTTTGCGCTCACTCATCCTTGCTAGAGGTTTTATATTATCCTTCAACCACTTCTCTCGAGGGTATCGGAAAATCTATTTTCATTGTTTCCCCCCCCCCCTCTCTACCGTTACCTCATCTCCCCAAATACACCTATTCTTCCAAATTGATTTGGTCCAATTTCTGTGCTCCAATGCCCAATCTAGTCTCAGACTGGCAACTTCATCGTCTAAGTAAATTCCCTCTTTTTTCTGCCACTTTTCAGGTTGGTTTCAAGTAGGCGATATCGCACAATTGTGATCGAAATGCTTGACGCGATCGCATCGTTTATGTCTTCGTGAGTTTATTCACGGTTACTGAGTGCTGAGTCCAAAATTTGAGCATCTTGTTTTGATGAGGTCTTTCTAGGAGCTCCCTGCCTAGGTAAGTTCTTTCCATCCTTTCTCCCAGAATGCGCATTGTGGTTTGCGGCTACAGTGGACAGTGGGATAGACAGATTGTGAGAAATCTCTTTTAAGGGTGCATCTTGAGTTCGCATATCCTTAATTTGACCTCTCTGATAGGATTTGGGATGGGCTGTTGGTATAGAATTATGTCTAGAACTTTTTCTTAACTTCACTCTTTAGCTACGTTGGGCTGGTATCGTAAATGTGCTTTTCATTGAAGAGTTCGTTGGGGCAGCGCGTTGCGATGTCAGTGTACGCTTACTTGTGGAAACCCGCAATACAATGGCTATGACTAAGGGTGATTGCCTTGAGTATCGGAAACACCTGCTATCACTTGAAGAAAAGTGGGGTAGCAGTTGTATTATTTCTCTGACCGATGAAAGTCATCACTGAAACTTAGTAAGGAGTTTGGAGCAGAAAATAGAAGTCTTCGAAGTATAAGTACTCATGCTTATTCCCAACCTACAGTCCTGTTTTCTCCAGTCTTCATCAAAAACCAAGTTTTTATCGGTAGCAGAGCCCTTAAAGATTATTGCCAGTGAGTTCTAGCAATAGTATCTTTGAATAATCTGCAACCCGATTGTCTATTTTGCATAGCCCTGACAATTGTATCTCTCTTAGAAGAAAACACCCATTACAATATTCTGAAGGGGGTGAGTAGCGAGTATTCCGCAGGGTACGAAGAGTGTAATAGGGGGCGGTATGGGAACTCTCAATAGGGGTACTACGGGACTCTAGCGTTGGCAAGGTTCGACGGGACACGGAGAAGTGAGGCGGTGGTCTTCTCAAAGAAAGAAGAGGACGACAATATTGTATAGCAATAAACAGCGTAGATACAGAAGACGTTGCGTAAAGAAAGAAGAGGAAGAAAAAGAACGAAAAGTACAAACAACCCCCCTTAATATACTCAAGGAAATCCCAGCGATGACAAATCCAACATGACTCATACATTAACAATCAACAGAACCCGATAGAACCCAATAGAACCTTTCTGACTAATCCAACTCTTCGTAACCCCGTACCTCCACTAGTCGATCCATGAAAAATATTTAGGAGTGCTTTTTGCGGGAGACAATTCTTGATCTGTACAATTGTATTTATTGTTTCTGCGTATAGATTACGTGGAAGATCGTGGTTGAGCAAGGCGGATCGTTTGATTGTTGCTATTGTTTTGTTAAATCATTCTGCTGTTCCGTTTGACTCATGATAGTGGGGTACAGTGAAAGCATGATTTAAATCTTTGGAGGCAAAGAACTGTTGGAGGTCATTGGAGATGTATTCGTCATTATTGTCGCTTCAAAACCATTTAACCGTTTTGTCCAATTGGTTTTCCATGTATGCGATGTACCGTTGTGTGGCAGCTGCTGCATCTGATTTCTTTTTAAGGTAATAGAGGTGATCATATCTGGAGTAATCGTCGATGAAAGTAATATAATAACTAAAACCGCTAAGAGAAGGATTGGAAAGGATGCTACTCAAATATGAGTGTATTAGTTCTAGTGGTTGTTTGGATCATGGTTTGGTAAAAGGAGGAAGGTAAGATTTGGTGGGTTTGGCGAGTTCACATGTATTGAATGTTTCTATATGATCTGAGATGGGGAGAAGCTTTGGATCAGTGACCAGGGTGTGTAACTGTGACAGCGAGGAAGTGGGGAGATGTTTGAGCCGTTGGTGCCAATCATAGAAGATGGTTGTTATGGAAAGGTGTGCGCAAGGTCCCTTGATTTCAAGGATGTAGAGACCAGTACTGTTTGCATTAGCGACCCCAATAATATAATTGCTGTTTGGTTTATAAATGGTAAAGCCGTTTTCAGTCCCTATTGTTGTGAATCTCTTGTTCGCAATGTATGATCATCAAATTAAGTTAGTGTTGCCGAGTTCTGGGATCTGGAATACATTCTGCAGACTGATAAGGCTATGTGATTTGTTGACGGTAACATTTCCAATTCTGGTTATCTGTAGTTTGCGCCCGCCGCCAACAGTGACTGTTCCACTGTGAGATGGGGGTTGGTAACCTGAGTTCCGGTCATGTGGTTAGTTGCACCAGGGTCAAAGATTCATGCTTTGTTGTCAGATTTGGAAGTTCTAGCGATAAATTTGTTGTAGTCTTCCATTATTATGTCCGAGGTATATGAGAAAGTGTTAAAATAGAAGAAAACCGGCATAGTAAATACATCAGCTTCTTCAAGTGCGGAGAGGCTAGAGAGATCATGAAATCAAGAGAGGTCTAATTTTTATAAAATGTATTACCGGATTTGATGTTAAGCTTGCTAAATGTAGCTGACTTCTCTTTGTTTCTGGAAGCTTTGAGTTTCAGGCAGTATTTATGCGTATGGCCTTTTGCGTATTCTCCATTCTTGGTGCACCAGGTACATGTAAGATCTCATTTAACCTCCTTATTCTGGCATTGTTTTCCAGCTTTATCGTTGCTGCTTCCATATCCTAGGTTTCGTCACCTGATGTTGTAAGCTTCTCCAGTTTGTTGTCCATCGTTGTTGCACTGTGAGTCTAGATCGAAGAGCTTTTCATAGTATACGTTATCGAAAGTGACATTGGGCTTGATTTGCAGGTTGTCTATAACAAATTTGAGGGATTGTTGCCGAAGTGAGAGGAGTAGGAAGGATGCTTTCCCTTCTCAAATAGATGCGAGTTGGTGGAGGTGGTAACTGATTGGGTCTTTGGTTTTGTCCGTAGAGTTACCACTTCTAGTGAGAAGGGATGACTAAAGAGTATTGAACTGGGTTAGATGTTCCTTGATGCTTTTGTCAGGTGTATACCGTAGGGTGACAATGTTGGCAAGAAGTGATTGGAGGGAAGATACAATTTTTCGATCAAATCTGTTTTTGAGTTAAGTCCAGAGGTGATGAGCAGTATCGGCTAGAGTGAGCTTGAGAATAAATTCAAATTCGATGTTGAATTGAAGGAAGATGACCGTGAGGTTGTCTTTATTGTCCAATTCACTGATTTCTTCGGTATTGTCTGTTGTTTTTTCTTTATCCTCTTCTGCTGATACTGCTGCTACACCTTCGACTGGTTGTTCTGCAGGTGGTCCCGCTGTAACCGTAGTTATAGTTGTGGTGAACACAGGATGCTTACTCGTACCATTGACAAGATTCCACAAATCGTGAACTTTTAACGTTCGACAAGTGAGGTCCCTCCAAACAGTGTAATGGCCTTGATTAGACAGTTTGCATGGTAAAGCGGGAATTTTTGTGCTGTTGTTCGAAATGTTTGAAGTGAAATTATAGAGTATACTTGATAGTAAAAATGGTTTGGAGTGTATAAGCATGAGTGGTCTCCAGGCTCATAACCTAGAGAAAATATATGTAGAGAAGTGTAGTAATTGAGCGTGTTGTCTTTTTAACTAAGGGGAAATCGCCCCGCATTTATAATTAAAGAATGGTAGTACAAAGATTTATAAATATATAAGCAATAAGCTGACTAATAAGAAATAAATAAGGAACCAATCAGAACCCGTAACTCGTAATGACAAATAAAATCACCTGATACTATGAATATGTACCAAGCATATTATTTCAAGAGTATTCTCGCTCGTGTGTATTGGTATATGGTTTCGCCCACAGTGGACATCATGGTTTGTCTGATATAGGCATGCCCTACATTATGATTTTCAAACTTGCGTTTGGTTCTATTTACAATTAATATATACCTACAGGAGCTCAATTCTTTCAGGGATTCATAAGAAAGCAACTGTCCCTCTCAACTGGGACTTTCAATGTAAATTCTCCGAAGTCAATCTGCAAAATTTTCTTTTTATAATCTTATAGATCAAATGAGTTTAGAGTTTACCATCATGCAATCCAAATAGAGTGAGACCGCGAAGTCCCAAGGAAACCCAATGACAACGAGCGACTCAATCATTCTAATTGTCAGTTGTATCACAAGTTTAATCACAATTCTTACCCTCACTGTTCAGATAAGTCAATGCATTAGGAAGTGGAACAAGGTATATTTTAGAGTCTTGAAAATCTGTTGAAGAACTCTTCCCAAACACAAAGCTGAATCCAAAATTCCCCGACTTGAAACAATTTCTTGAATTCACAGAGCTTGATATCTGACGAAAATAGGAGCTCAATAATCTCAGAGAAGAAGAATTGAGAATCATTGCCTGTCCTAAATCTACTCTCCCAATATCTTCAGAGGCAGCTGTTCATATTCGTCCGACAACTACCACCCCCCACAACCTGCACGGAGCATCAAGAGCAACCTTCTACATTCACTCGAGATCTGATTCCCCCCACTCCTTCCACTCATTTCAATACTACTAGGGAGTCACAATGTAAGATGTCAACGTTCTGTTCGAGCCCGTCTTCTCACACTCATTACAGTGAGCTAACTTTACTGAACACTACATACAACCTCCGGACCTTTTATGAAGGTTGCGGTGGAAAGATATTCTTTATAATTATCCTAGAAAGATCTTAGTTTCTGCATTTGTATTATTAGTTTCTTTCAGTTATCAGAATCATTAAATTTCATTCTAGGGGGGAGCTTGGTGATCTATACATTAGCTAGTTACGAACTTACTTACAATCAACTGTAAAAGTCTCAATTTTTTTTCATGCCTTACCTAGCGTTGTTTATTTTTAAGAAATCCGCTTAATTTAGACGTTTTCGCTTGTGAAATGCCAAGACTATGCAAAATATTTTAAATTATTTTGACAACGTGCTAAATTGGAACTATTCTGGTTTAAAGTGATTTAATCTTTTCATAGACTGTTTACCTTTTAAATATGAAAGATTTGGCTTGAACTAACCTTCAGGGGCATGATATAGTTTTTGTAAGTTTTTGATTTTCTGAAAAAAAGTTGACGCAAGGCGAAAAAGGAAAATCAAGATTTTTGCAGTTGACTGTAACTTAGTCAGAATAACTGCAAATTTAATTATGAGCCCATAGTATATCGCCGGGAACCTTTTAGTGTAAAGATTCTAATTTGCAAAATTTGCCAGTTCAAATTACTGAGGTCTTCTAAAGTTCATTCCAATATCTCACCTGTAGGAAATTGATATAGACACCTTGAATGGGTATGCCGATGCTCGTGGGTATGGTGCAACAACTAAAAATGTTAAAAGTGAAGAAAGGATATGTGAAGAATATTATCAAATGAAGTATATAGATACGAATTTCTGTATAAGATAAAGATTTCTGTTGTCTTAATTTCACCCACTCCTTTCTACAATCAAGAAAAGCACCACATATACCATCCATATGCACCATATACCCGTCAAGGCATCCAGCTTGCAGCTTTATTTTCTTCTTCCATTTCAATAGGAAATCTGTATGGTCTTTGGCTAATTCCAGGATTCAGTTTGGTGATCTCGGTAAAACCATTTTGAGCGCGATATTAAAACCCCATATATAAGCTGTTGACGTTTACCTGTAAAAGGGTGCGTAGTTGTAAATCTCCATTTAATACTTGCTAGTCCTTTTTTTTTGTTTCCGACTTTCGGTTTAGTACTCTCGACAGGTACCTGAAGGCGATTATAAAAGGAGTTAGTTGACAAACCCAGGCACCTGAGCACAAGCTACGCCTACATACTCTACATAAGTTCAATTGATTAAGTATCGCGGACAGGTATTATATATATCCCTTCCGTCATTTTCATGGAACGACCGGAAAGGGTTGGTGCGAGTTGTCTAACTAAAGTGAGTAATGATGGTTCAGATAGATGGGGCAGATGTTGTCAAGGTAACCGTACTCATGGAACTTAGTGGTGGTATCAGCATTGATCTTTCGAAGGCTTCGCGCAATGAAGGTTGATAAACTTCAGATTAAGACACCAAGATGAACTGTGAGTTAAAAACTATCGTGTAAATATGTTTTTAGGTTAAAATTATGTGCAGATTCTAAATATTTAGTCCATTTTACACGAACTCAAGAACCTAAAAAGTTATAACCAAAAATGAGACCTGAATAGCTATATAATAGCGAGGAAGTACAGATTGATGGAGTTAAACATGATATAGAAGTAAAAAATGATCTTTGAAGACTGTTTCTAGGGTAAAAAAGTGTATAGAATCCGAATTTGGAGTTTATTCTAACCGTTCTCTTAAATCTAATGGGCGATTAACGGAAAAGAGAGGAATACTTTAGATATAACAAGAGCGATAATAACTTGAAATATCAGGTAATAGAGATATCATGGAATAGATAGAAACAGTGCTCTTTAAAAAAAGGAAAGTGACAATGGAAACATTCAAAACTGGTATGTGATTCCTTTTCTTTTGGTTGTCTTCAACCAAGACTTCTCGCAACCTGCTCTCTATCTCTTGATTTTGAAATCAAACGGCACAAAAAGTACAAGTGAGACTTAGGCTTTCTACCTTCTATTTGAGGTATACACGAGAGTGTATGACTGCTGAGCTCTAATCTGACAGGTGGTATAGTCGTATGTTTACCAACATAACCCCTAGAGCGACTCATGGAATTATTTCCAATGGGTGTAACTCCCGGGCAATGTCTACTCCTAGGCTGTGGATTTGCTTGATATGGAGCAACAGAGCACGCTCTATTCAAGTCTCTATATCCTGAATGAATGAGGTCCCACGCCAGCTGAATTCAGAAATCTCGTTGCTCAATAGGTGTAGTTTGTGTACGGTTGGCCAGTATCCAAAAGTTGATTATCGTTATATCCAATAACTAAAAGAACAATGCCATCCAATTTATTAGAACATGCAATTGGATAACATAATAGCAATGGAACTGATCTGCTAGGTCGACGTCATTTATCTTTAAGTTGTAATCTAGAGCAATACCAGGTATAGGCATGATTTCTTTTCCCCAGTTCACCCCATGCTGTTTCAACATTTTGGCGGTTATAATCAGTTATATGGGGTATATTTATGTCTTTCATCAGCAAAAAATGAAGTCTCGTCTTGTGACGCCTGGGCGCCCCAGACGCCCTAGACGCTCCAGACGACACAAAGCGATTTCTTACCTGCATACCGACACCTGGGTGCCCCGCGACGAGAGCCCTGCGTCTCTTGGGCAACCGGCGACGTCACGAAGGCTAAAGACGAAAACCTTCTCCCATCCCTCAAAGACGTCGTCACGACGTCTAAAGACGAGCTCGTCTTCTGGACATAGGAGGTAGCCCCTCTACCATTATGCTCGCATCTTGGTCTATGGAAGTCGTCCTACGCCCTCGTCACCTCGCCTTTAGTCTAATTACCTACGTCATATTGGCCGACTTATGTCCTCAACCTGCCTATCTCGACCACTACATATCGTCTTTCCGCTCGCACTCTCTGTCTCTTGACAGTTTATATCGTCCTTTTTCACTAATCTGCGCCTTCCGACAGCTATCCCGTCTTTTGGTTCACACTCTTCGTCCTTTCATTCGCACATCTCGTCTTACGGCAACTATATCTCGTCTTTTGGTCTAAACTCTTCGTCTTTCCGTCCCTTGATTCTAAGTTTGAATTTTCTTTAGGTGATACTGTCTATTGATTCATTGTCTTTTGACGCCCCTCGCTCTAGCTAGTTCGTCTATTTAGGTGAGAGCTATCTGACCCTTTGTACTTTGCTCCTGCGCGGTCTCCCTCTCCGTCTTCTGACCACTTCTCCCGAGCGCTCTTCTCCGCCCTGCGTCATACTGACATCTCTCTCTACGTCGTTTTCAATATTTACATTAATCCCGGTAATTGTTCCAATAGTCCCATCTATCTGGCTTTCTGCATCGACTACGTAGTCCCCGACTGGAGGTGGAGTGACATTGCCCTCCTCCCCGTCGTCATCGTCAAACGGCGGGTCGCCTGCCTCGTCGGACCCCATATCGTCGTCGTCAGTCTCCGTACTGAGCTTGGATCGGAGACCCTCCAAAAAGCTGCCTACTCCAGGGTCAATAATTGCCTCCCTGCTCTCCGTAGCGGTAATCCTGCAGCAGTTTGTCCTCTTAATCCGTTTCAATATCTCGTGTCGAATCCCCTTCAGTACTAGATTTGACGTCTCATCGTCGGGGAAGGACCTCTTCCATGTGCGCATGTGCCTCTCGAAAATTACTAGCACCACCGTCAATAATGATGCCCGTCGATAACCTGACCAGATGAAAGACGGGGTGCTCACCGCCGCAATAGTCCTTATTGAAGACACCATTCTTCCAGTTGCTGCCTCCAATTACGTGGACTCTCAGCGCATGGTAAAGTACAGTAGAAACCAGGCAGATAAAAGACGGGTTGAGACAACTCTCAAATTCCGGATGGTTGACGGCAATCCCACGATTGGTCTTATAGTAGGCGTAGACGATAAAACGCGGTATTTGAGGTGCGGCGAAATGCCATTGCGCGGGCTAAAGACGTTAGTACCAAATCTGTGCCCCTGGATGAACAGTGGATATACCTCGTAATGAGTGGGATCACAATTGAAACGGTCATCTGTCAGGAGGTAATCGACACGGGCTTTTGCTTGCTCGCCGGTCATGCCGGCTAGGCCGTAATATAACGCGATTACCGCCTTTGCCTTCTCCATCATGTGTGAACGAGTCCGTTGATGATAAAACCTCACCTGCCCGGACACGCCGGTCGACAACTCCGCTGGAAAGTCGGTTCCCGCCCTGGCAAAATCCCATGAATTTCTGACCATGGACGCCAATTCCAATACCGAGGGCATCGGGTTTTTGAATAGTGTCTCTTTGGTGAGATGCCACCCAGCTTTTTCGATTAGAGTCCTCAGCTCAATGTCGAATTGCCCTAAGCTACGATGTCGGAGAGCTCTGGTTTTGTTGGGATCGGTAGGGTCTACCGGCGCTAGTAGATTTTGTGACGACGACTCTCCAGAATACCCACCGCCGCTGCCACTAGCATAATCTGTACTCCTGACGACTTCGGAAGGGGCTCTTATCGACGCCGGTCTAGAAAGCTCAGAAAGTTGACGACGGGCTTCGGGGCGGGTCCCCCCCGACGATGTTCTAATAGACTCAGAATCTTGATGACCGGAGTGAGTATGTGTCTGACTAGTTAGGGCGTTTCGACGGGTAGGAGACCTATTACCACGCCCGGGGGAGGCATAAAAAGTGTCATGCGGCTGGTTCGCGTCAGATTCTCTATTTCGTGCGGCCGACGGTAACGTATCCCTCGACGAGGATTGCTGAAATTGAGACTCCTGGGGTGGTAGGCTTGTGAGTGGCGGGCTCGTAGGTTGTCGGGCATTGACTCTCCCGTCTTTTGTCAAATACATCTCGCCATGAAGCTGTAAATCAATCTGTGAAGCTCTTTCTGATGGGTCCCCATATTCGGAGACATCGTCTTCAGACTCCGTTTCTTGTCCTCGCGCCTGTGACGATCTCGTAGGCAATCGTCTGGCTGAGTCATGTGGAAAGGTGCTTGGAATCTCTTGTGAAGATCGTACATGTCTTTGGGTGGTCGGTCGTCTGTCCCTGCTAAACGACCTGGTGTTCCGACGGGAGGAAGTTTCTCTGTAGGTGTTTTGCGAGGGACGGGAGGAGTTAGACAAATGAAACTGACTCTCTCGCTGAGGCATTGTCAAGGATGTCTCTCGGTAGGATGGGCAGTGCAACGTACCAACTTTATAAGAGAGTTTTGGGAAGGGGGAGTGGGGAGATGACTCGGAGGGCAACTTCTGCCGTGATGTCATTGATCCGTACACGGACCAATAGCTAGAGGCAAACGACGCTAGGAGATATGTCCCGCGATTTGTTCCGAGCTCCTGGAATCCAAGGTTTAGCCTAAATATGTCCACCATAATACAGATTCACGCCGTTCCACTAAATCGTGTGCGGGTAGTCGAGGGCGGTCAAGTCAAAACCCTCTCAAGTCCGAGTCTGGCGTCCCCAGCAAGCTCGTCTTCTAGAAGCTCGTCTCCTGGAAGAGTGACTGGCAGGCAGCGGTCATTCCGATCGATAGTTTCATTCCCGCATCACTCTGTCCGGGCTCGACTGCTTAATGGCATGGGTATACAGCTTTTCGAACGGAGTCGTCCCATCCCCCCGACGCAATACCCTTGGTATTTCGTGATCCGTCGGTTTCAGTCGCGTGACTAACGCTGGCGTCCCAGCAAGCTCGCCTTCACGGAGGGTGGGCCATGGCAGGAGACGAAAAAGGCTTCGATCCCGCACCCTTCCTGTCCGGACTTTACTGCTTTTTGGCATGGGTATTATACAGCTAATCAAACGGTCCACGCGACTAGAGTCATATGGGCTAAACGAGCAACAAAGATTGTTTACTCGCCTTCTGGTCAGATTACTGAGGTCTGATTCGAAACGTACACCGACCGATAGATATAGGCCAACGACGCGAAGACAAACGACGGATATTCAGTCGCCATGCTAGTAGAAAACCTAAAATCCAAGGGTTAGCCTCAACTCCACCATAATACAGATTCACGCCGTTTCACTAAATCGTATTCGGGTAGTCGAGGGCGGTCAAGTCAAAACCCTCTCAAGTCCGAGTTGACGTCCCCAGCAAGCTCGCGTTCCCGGAGGGTGGGCCATGGCAGGAGACGAAAAAGGCTTCGATTCCGCACCCTTCCTGTCCGGGCTTTACTGCTATTTGTGTTCCGTCGATCCAGTCCGTTTACTAGAGTCGTCATAGGCCAAGCGAGCAACAGAGATTGTGTACTCGCCTTCAGATTGGATAGAGGAGAGGAGATGAGGTCGGACACGACTTGGATTGTCAGATGACTAAGCACTTGCTTGGCGTCGGCTACGTCTTTTTGCTCAACATACTCATCACTGTATTGTATTCGGTCGAGTGACGCTCCTAATAACAGTATACTACTAATGATCAGACGAATCTATAACGACCCCAACCAGCATCGAAAGACCTAACTCACCTCACATGCTGCGCCAAAAGACCCTAACAGATATCACTAACCCTAAACCAAAAGGACCCCCGTCAAATAACCCGAAAGAGATAAGACTAACCCCCAAAAGACCCAATAAAGATAAGACTAACCCCAAAAGACCCAAAATAGATAAGACTAACCCCCAAAAGACCCAATAAAGATAAGACTAACCCCAAAAGACCAAAATAGATAAGACTAATCCCAAAAGATGACCAGGACAACTGTCAAACCACCCAAAAAAGATAGACCAAACATATCGCAACAACCGCCAAAGAGGCTAAAAAATAACGCCATAAAAGATAGGCCGACAAAAAGACGAGAACCACAACCGTCAAAAGCTAAAGGTTGCGACTAGGGTCAGAAAACTCACGAGCAGGTGACTGGAGCGTGCAACCTACTATCAACCAGTGCTACTCGAAACGAAGTTTCTTTCGAGTCCCAGGACGAGAGATGGAAGTCCAGCCCTTCGCAGGGATGTCGGGGAGGTTGATGATAGTGGGGGGAGGGGAGATTTGGGGGTGGGGGGACTGGGGAAGACGGGGAATTGTTTGGAGCTTAGCCACTTCAATCGAACTGGTCGATGCATCGGTAAGGTAACCCACTTCCATATCGATTGACTCGTCCCCGCGCCCGCCGCGAGGAATACCCCCATCAGGGCCACCATCAACGTAACTACCTTCCCCGGCAGGCTCTTCGCCGGGCATCTCATCTTGCGTAGTTCTTTCAGACTCCAGAGCGCTGTCAGCTTGTGAACCAGTGGCCCGGCTTTCGTACTCTGGTATTAAGTCCCCTTGCTCTTCCTCCTGCTCACCCTCATAGGGCGGGCTCTCAGCCGGCTCATCGAACAGATGGTGTCTAACGTATTGACCGCATTAGCCGCATTAGGAGAAACTATACTACTGGTACGGAATTTAGTCCAACTTACGCTCTCGACCTTTTCCCTCCTCGCTCGGCAGCAGTAGTCTGAGCAGGTGTTTTGGCCGGGGTCTTCGGGCCGGGTGTCTTTGATGGCGGCGTCTTGGCCGGCGTCTTGGGCCCGGGTGTCTTTGATGGCGGCGTCTTGGCCGGCGTCTTGAGCCCGGGTGTCTTTGTCTTCTTTCTCCTTGGGGCCTCCTCCTCCTCTTCTTCCTCCTCTTCTTCCTCGTCCTCCTCCTCTTCTTCTTCCTCGTCGTCGATGTGATCGTCGTCTTTCTGGGCCGCCTTGCTCGAGCTACCCCCTGCCTTGCCTTTCGGGCCCGCCTTGCTCGAGCTGCCCTCTCCGGCGTTCTCTCCTCTGGGCTTTTTACGGGAACTCGACCCTCCACCTTCACCCTCGCCTTCGTTGTCGTCGTCGGCGTCGTCGTCGGCGTCGTCGTCAGCGTCATCGTCGTCGTCGTCGTCGCTCACCTCCACAATCTCACTTCTCTTCCTCTTCGTCGGTTTCCCCCAACGAGTTCCTGTCTCCTCGGCCTTGATGCCCGACGCTCTCCGGTCAATCCGCAACTGATTGTCCATCAGCACCTCCCAGTCAACGTGAAAGTAGGGGAATGACAGCGGCGGTGGAGTCTGCCTGGCGTTTTTATCGCGCTCATTATAAACCACCAATAGTCTCAGTCGCGGTGCAACTTTACAAGCATTGAGCCATACTCTGACATCTTTGTCCGACTGTAGGAAGATGACCTGTTCAGGTAACGGCCGGTAAACACGATATTGACCCGACGCGGTCTTGGAAAACTCCTCGTCGAGGACAAGAGACCCGACCAAATGGCGTATCGCGGGGTGTGGCAAGTCAGAAGCACCGCCGCGGGTTTCAGGGTCTAGTTGTACCCCCCTGACCATCCTCACGACCTCCGATAGATACGGACCGGGAAGTGAACTAAACGTCAGGTAGGGATGCCCACCAAAGGTTCTTGGAGTCCAATTAGGCATTTCCCAAGGCTTCTGACGTAGTCCCAACTTCGCCCCTCCGAGTCGCTCAAAGCGGTATTTGGAGGGGAAACAATGCGAAATGCCGATAGGCCGATCAGTAAGATATGGTGCCCTTTCGACCTTCCGGGTCTTCGCCGAGAAGGGCTCGTCGGCTTCCTCGGGTGTCTCTTCGTCGTCCGTCTCATCTCCGACGTCTGCCTTGTCCCTCGGCTTCTCCGCTTCGTCTTCCGACGAGGCAAATTCGTCAATGTCAGGGTAGACCTCGTCCTCGTCGTCGGGCAGAGGCGCCTGGGCCTGCTTGCTCCTCTTTGTCGAACTGCGAGTTGGCGCCGTCTCGCGCTGCTTGCCCTTGCCTTTTGTGTCGGTCGCCTTCCCCTTGGTCTCCTTCTTCTTTGCTGCTTTCGCCTTCGCTGACTTCGCCGCACGCTCCTTCTCTTTGAGTGCCTCAGAGAACTTCTCTCTATCCTCAGCAGACTTACGTTTGGCAAGATCTTGGAGTGTACTGCTCACACAGACTTTGATCAAGGCCCCTTGTAAGGTGCAATCTTCCTCCGGCTGTTGAAGCAGGCGTCTGAATTTATTCCAGGGCGGATAACTGAGCAGGAGTCTCACGGCCTCGTCCCATTGCTCGTCTGTTGCCATAGTTCTGCTGGCAATCGCATTCTCGACAAAGTAGTCGTGCACAGCTTCGAACATGTTCCTCCATTGGGCCGGCGTAATGCCGAGCAAGGACTTAACTTCGGCGCCAGTAAATTTGCTCTTTTTCGCATACCCCTGGCGGGCGTCAGAGGGCGAGAGATATAGGACTTGATAGAAATCTTACCTCTGCTATGCACGCTGCTCTGCTAATCGACAAAACCCAGGGGCCCTCCTTATCGGCCCATTCCATTCTTTTCTTCGGAGATGACCTTCCGGCTTGGGCTAATGCCGACTTGTTCTTACCCGACCGAGTTCCCACCATTGTAGTCAGTTGCGTTAGGAAGGTGGTCAAAAGACGGTTGACCGTTGGTGGATGCCTTCAGGAGGATAGACTCCGGGGAAACAACGGGGTATTTAGACCCTTATATAGAACAAAGACTGTGCGAATTACCATCGTGAGGGTGTGCTGGAATCGGCAACTCGTAACGCCTAACCATATACACAAGGCAGGGGACGACAAACAAAGGCTCATCGTCGCCGGATTAGGTTAATGAATGAACCAACACGAGTGCTTTGACGGAGGTTTGCAACTGTTGGTGGTGAGGTCAGACGACGTTGTGATGAATGATGTCAGGTCGCATATGCTTGGCAAAGCTTGGCTCGCGGCTGACGACCCCGGGGAAACGATCGTCGGTCTGTGCTACAGTGGTCATTTTGCTCAGTCAGAATTCCAGCAGTATAAACCCACTCGATACCAGTGCCAGTGAACGCGAGAATGAGGCATACGACGAAGCAAAAGACGCGCACGACAAGCCAAAAGACCATCACGACTGATCAAGAAAGCGGATGTCATCCACACCTTGCCCCCTGTGCCCAAGGTATTACCGTCGCGCGGGACATCTTGCAAGACATATTTAGCGGCATCATGGCGGTGACGATGCGCCTGAGGACGAGCGTTTAGAAGACGAAACTACGCTGCCAGACGCCGGGCCTGGTACGCTTACTCTGGTAATTGATGGCTCGGATGATTCTACAGACTCAGAAGCCGACTCTGAGGCGGAATCCGACTTTGACCCTGACTCCGACGACGATGGCCCTGCGGCGATCGCCTCCCCGATCTCAGAGAAAGCTGACGATAATCAAAGGGCCACAGCATACCTACCCAACAGTGGACAAAGACTAGGTCGGGTCCAGGGCTATCGGGACTATATGGAAGAGAATTGGAAGCCCTGGGCACCGTTCAAAGACGCGGCGGAATGGAGATTGGCTCGTTTCTTTATCGAGCACAAGCTGACCTCTACATCAATTGACGCCTACTTCAATGAGGGGTTGCACAAGACGACAAAGAACGAGCGTTCCTTTCAGTCCGCTTATACTTTCCAGAACCAGCTCGACAAAATGACGTGCTCCCCACCTAACTTTCAATACGGGACCGTCGGGGACGGCTTTGGAAGAACGACCGACTTATATTACAGGAATCCGGTCGAATGCGCGAGGTATCTCTTGGGTCAACGTTGCTACAAGTCGAGCATGGTTTATCGGCCGGAGAGGGTTTACGACGCGGACGGATATCAACTCTATTCCGAGATGCATACAGCGGACTGGTGGTGGAATATGCAGGAAAGACTTCCTACCGGGGCCACGATTGTCCCGATTATCTGCAGCTCCGACGTCACGCATCTGACAAACTTCTCCGGAGACAAGAAGACCTGGCCGATATATATGACGATAGGCAATATACCGGGAAAAGTACGATCCAAGCCGTCCACCAAGGCGCATTTGCTACTCGCACTATTGCCAATACCTCCTAAGATAATTGGCGACGCGACGTCAAAGGGGAGACTCCGGTCCTGGGCGGCGGAGACGCTGAGGAGAGTCATGTCAGTTATACTGGAGCCTCTGCTGCACTTTGACCAAAGGCTCGGCGTCTTAATGGGCTGCTCAGATGGGTACGAGAGACGTTGTTGGCCGATTCTGACGGCATGGCTTTCGGACCACATGGAGAGCTGCAATATTCTGAATACCAAGTTCAACTTGTGCTCCAAGTGCGAGATACCCGTCAATAGACTGGGCGAATACGAAGCCGAACCGCTCAAGACCTACCCTCGTGATCAGGATGAATACAAGAGAATGTATCGTCAGTACAGGGTGCTGAAGGTACTGGAGAATCCGACGAGAGACGAAAGGCGGGAGCTGAAGACGCTGACCAAGTGGTTCGATTCTCGTGGTTTACGACCTCTGTACAACCCTTTCTGGAATCTCCCCTTCGTCCAAGCCTACGACCTCCATAAGCCAGACATGCTGCACGTGGTATACTTGGGAATCCTGAAACATCTTATGGAGTGGCTGGAAGACTTCCTGAAGGAACATGGTCGTTTGGATGAATTCAACGCCATATGGACGCGCATGCCACCTTACCCTGGATTTACCCCACCGACGAAGCCTTATCAAGCGGTCAGTCAATGGCAAGGGAAGGAGATGCGTAATTTTCAGAAAATAATCTTACCAGCCCTGGCGTCTGCCCTCAGGAATCCGTCATGTGCCCAGGCAGAGCCATTCAAGAAAGCCTTTCAATGCGTCCGGGCATTGGTCGACTGGGCACTAGTCGCCCAGCATCGTTCTCATAACGAGCTGACGATAGACATGTTGGATAATTACCTAAAGGCTTTCCATAGGACGAAGGATATCTTCAGGAAATATCGCGCGACTAGAGAGACTGACAGACTTGTGGCGGAACGACGGAGGGAATTGCGCGGGGAATACGACGTCGAGTTAGCAGGCCTAAACGACTCTTTAGGCCAAAGACGAAGGGTTATCGCAGACCAAAGGCTAAATCTCCAGGCGGAAACCGACGAGATCTTGCGAGCAGAATCCCACTTCAACTTCCCCAAGATACACCTCATGGGCCATTTCGCAGAGCACATTCGTCAATACGGCAATATTCCGGACTATTCGACGGAGTCTTGCGAGTCAGCCCACAGGGATCAGATCAAAATACCGTATCGTCGGAGCAATCGCGTCGATCCCGCAATGCAGATACTTCGAACGTTTAACCGTGATTATACGTTTTCCATTTGCGAATTAAATCTTCTACAAATTGCCCGGGACGGTTTTTTCGACCACTGAGCTTGTCGGCAATCTCGACGTCTTAGAGCCACGTCTGAGGAGGAGGATGCAAGCTGCAAGACGGGATCTTAGAGACCCTCAGGACGACCCGGCGTTTCAAGCGCAGGATATCGCGCCATTGGTCTATTTACCAAGCGACACCAGGGTGGAGAAGAGGTGGGTCAAATGCCCGGTCAAATTAACAAATGTCGGTAGTGTAGATATCGCAGGTGCTACAAAGAGACTGGGGTATTACATCCGGCGGTATTTCAGGAGGGAGCTATATCTTGGATACGAAGATATGCCCGAAGACATCGATAGCTGGCGGGTAAACACATTCAAACAGCTCAACGTACCCGTCCTTTTGCACGGCGAGGGCGACGAGAGGACAATTCACACACTTCGTACGACGGGAACGTCAGGTTATAGACGGGGAAACGCGCGCAACGACTGGGTCTGGTTTCGTCAAAAGCCGGCTGACCTGGACGCTTTGCAGGGTTTATGCCCAGCAAGGCTGCTTGCGGTCTTTAAGCTCAGGGACCCAAGACGAAGGGGGGCCAGACTTCTGGCTGCGATACAACCATTGAAGCCGGACTTCAATGGAAACCCCAACGTCGACCACGGGCTAATAAGGGTATCACGCTGCTCAAGCTCTCCTGACGATATATGGGTAGTAAACATAAAAAGCATTTTGGGCGCCGCTCATTTGGTGCCTGAGACGACGTCATCTACGAACAATAGATGGTTTATCAATAGTACGATCGATCTATCGACATACGGATCAATTTACTGAAGTAAGACGGGACGTTGGACTGAGTTTTTTATAATGATACTGACGACATGAACACCAGACAAGAGACTTTAGACAGGTGGACTTCTGACGATAGGTTTTGGGCAGGGGGGATTATGACGAACGGGGAAGACAAACGGGAATTAGGCGGGAGTCTTTAAACATGTTAAACAGTGGATATTCGACGCACTAGATTGTATTGTACATATTAGGTGGAAGGTATTAGACGGGCCCGGGGGTCATTAGAGTTTGTATTTTAGACGAAGTGATTATTGGACTTGGATTTTGGACAGAATTATGTCCGAGTCAAATGACGAGGATTTCCCAATTGAGCCATCTTCGTCTTTTGACGGGTAGTGAAGACGGGGACATTTGGCATAAGACGAGCGTAGGATAGATTGATTCAAAAGACGAGCTAATGAGGTCGCACGACCGGTTTCGTAATTGGAGCTCTAAATGGACAACGTTTTGTGGTCGAATGACGGGCGGCCAAAAATAGCGGGACATACGACGAGATCCCAGAGCCAAAAGACGAGGTCTTGGGGGCAAAAGACGAATTTGGGCATCTGGGTGCCGGAATTCGTCTTGGGGAAACCCATTTTTTGCTGATGTTCAATGGCCAATTGAGACGATTATGTTGACTATCTGCTATTATACGGTAGACAGTTGAGAGAAAGGGAACCAGGTTGTAATCTTGCCAAAGAACATATAGAACATTCCTACAGATGACACCTGAGATTGTATTGTGCGGGAAACAGGTCCTTTTCCGAAACCTTAACTCCCTAGGGTCTTCTGCTAAATTTGTGCGAGCAGTGCCACAACCTCCTATCCCGACAAATACAAGTGCATCGAGTAATCGTATATTTGTGAAATAATTATCGATATAGATGATGAATTGGTGTGTTTGATATGGGAGGGAAAGGGCTAGCTGGTAGACCATCTGTGAGGTTTTGTTGAGATTTAATGGACCTCGATATAATGTAGTATCTATTTGTGCAATTGAGTCCAACCGGCAGGTGTAGAGAAAGTTAAATGTGTATCCGTGCTTACATAGGGCAAAAATCTTATAACCGCAAGGGATTGGTTTCCCAGGAATACGTTGGGTATGTATAGATCAACCACTAAATCTGACCATCATCTCATCCACTGACACGTTCATGGAATGAGTCATATATTGACGGAATTTCTGAGATAGGTTGGATGACAAAAGGTCCATCTTCTGGTACCATTCAGCCTCCTGTAGGTGTATAGCAAGGTCAGATACATGGAAGTATCTTTTTATTTGCTCAAAACGCAGCAAACTCATATAATGTCCAATTGCATGCTTAGGGCAAAAGCTATTCCTCGACCAATAGTCCTTGCATCTGGCCGAGCAGAATATACCTATATATATAATAATACCTATAACGATTTTGAGTTCGGGAGGAGATACAGGATACCAACGGTGTTGTCCTATCTCACCGGCTCGCTTCAATTCTGCATAGGAATTTTTACTGTTGGCGAGAGTTTGAAGCTTATCATTTGTAAAGTACAATTCAAAGAACTCTCGTGGCTGTGAAGGTGATTCAAAATGCTCAAAAAATCCGGCAGGTAAATGAGCTTCTCGTTCGTGGGAAGAATGCGGATTTGTATATGGTTCAAATTCTATTGGTATACGGGGCAGTCTGGCTGGATTCTCTGGTACCGCTGGTTCAGGAACTGCCTCAACATCATCGTTGTCCTCCTCCTCATCACTTTCATTCCTATATCCTATTTCATCAAGCTCATCCTCGTCACTGTCTTCCCTATCGTGATCTTGCAATTGAGCTGGAGGTGGTAGTGGCGGCGCAAAATCCACCTGTGTTCCCCCACCCCTGTACTGGACCACTTTATGATTTCGCTCATGACGATAATTGGAAAGTTGAAAACTGCTCTCGCAGGCATCAAAAGCTCTGGCGGAAGCCATCAAAGTCAAGACTGGAGAAGTTCTGTGCCACTCGAGATCATTCATCTACCTCTACTAACTACTATCTACAGATGTTGCCATGAAGCGCCAGATCACATGAAGTGCTGATCACAATACATATTTGGAACCTCAACCAACCTCTTTGAGCGCCACTCCATTTCCTACCTGGGCCGATCGCCAGCACTAAACCCCTCCAAAAACCCGTGAAAATTCGGGACAAACGAAGGGATGTCTGGTGGAGGAGCTCCTCCAACTCTGCGCGGGAAGAGCTCCTTCCACTGTTGTACTCGAAGAGGTTAGTACCTCCCTACTAGTGTGGCCCACCTCGCGACCGTGAGACTATGTGGGTATCAAATAATTGTGGATCGAAGGCCTTCCCTTCGGCCCCCCCCCCTTTTACCTCCTGCTCCCCCCGTCCTCCTCCTCCCCTTCCGTCAGTTAGAACATATTCGTTCAGTCGCGATCGTGAGTGCTCAGTCTAGTACTTTGATGTGTCATGCTTACTAAACCCACCCAGGTACCTTTCAGCCAATAAAATGCTCAAGCGTTTAATAATCTATGTAGTAGACTTTACGTACCTACTTGTTTCCACAGCGACCGCAGGGATTTGGATGGTGATCTTGGATGTGAAGTATAGAGTTTTAGCCACGCTCAACTTCAAAAGTCGACCAGGGCGCATAAGTAGCCTCAAATGAGCTCAGAAACAATGACCAACCGGGACCTACTATTTACACTGCGTAAATTTGAGAAATTTGACACTGCAAGCTGAGTTAGGTGTCTTGATGCAGACACCCCGGTCAAACGTTGCCTCGACTTTTGAGTTTGAGCGTGGCTAAAACTCTCTAATCTCTAATATATTAAGATGAAAACTTTGATATGTAGAATACCAAATACCGCACTTGTGTACGTGTGTAAACGAATGGGGTTATTGAGCGGTTGACAAAACTACTCCAGATATAGGTATAATGCTGGCTCTTGCGGCATACACTTGATCTAGAGTCATTCGGCTTTTTCTTCCTCACATCGTACCCCTACACAGTCATCCATCGCCTAATCAGGAAAGGTTGTGTAGCGATCTGACTTACGCCATTAGAGTCTTTTAGCTGCAAGAGTTGGACAGAAAGTCGAGCACTTCGACAAAAAGTAGTGCATATCTTGTTGGTTGAACGACTGCAAGTCTCTTCCGAAAACAGCTAGACTTTCTGTCCAACCTGCTCGACTTTCTGTTCAACTCGCGCAGCTAAAAGACTCTATTGCCGCTAGCCAAACTAATTTTTAGACATTTTGGGTTCAATTATGGTTTTTCAAGGTACCCACCTGGGTGGGAAAGGAATTCAAACGTGCTGGGGAATTCCTGAATGGACCTAACAAAGGATGACTACATAGCAGAAGGTGTGGCTTACATCGGGCCGCGCCGTGGGCTTTTACTTTTTATACTCACTCTACGAGTTCTATAAATGCATCAGTAAATGAATCCAATCTTTCACATTAGATCCAGGCTGGGAAATGAATCAGTGTAAATGAATCAAATTAGTATGGGGAAATGAATCGGTAAATCAATCTATAAGTTCACTTTGTCACTTAAGCTTACACATTTCCTACTTCGATATCCAAAAAAAAATATACTTTTCTTTATTCTAAATTATATTCTTTGTGCACGGTGGCAAAATTTGAAATGCAATTGGGAGGGATTGAACTATGGTAACCTTGACTAACAAATGGAAGGGTTAACGCCTACACTATGATTTATTTCACATATTAAGTACATATTTAATGCTTATATGAGATGTATCTTATGTGTACTGTAGCGGGAAATTCGACTAAGTTCAAAATTACTGGGGATATAAAATATTACTACTCATCTACACTCATTAGACTTACTATCATACGCAGGCCTAATGTATCATTTGCGACGTGATTCTTCTTTGCGCCATATAGATTTAGTACCGTTATGCCAAGGCAGTTACAGCCCATCGTTTCAGTTTGCCTATCCGATAAGCAATAGTTCGTGATATGTAACTTTGAGACTGTTCAATTGAATCCTGATCATTGACTCTTTCTTGCCTAGTCATATTGTTTCATCGGTGCCACCATTGACTTCCAGCCTCCTGCTCAAAAGCAAGTCTGTAGACAAAAACGCAGTGTTGAACTCGTATCTGAGATACTTCACTTCCAGCTCCCAATCTTCTGGCTCGTACCTCGTGCTCATCATTGTATGTATGCTTTCGAATGTTTCCATAGTGATCAAAAATTCTGACAATTAACAGGCGAGGGTAAACAGTTTCAGGATTCTGGTCAGGGTCAGAAACGTATATGTTCCGTCCCAGTCACGAGTATATCACATTGGCCAACAGGCCGGCCCATTGCCCAACTGGCCGTCCTATTGACAAATATTGCCTATTGACCAATGCTTCCTGAGATTTGACAAACGGTCACTGATCTTCTGTCCAGATGGCCAATTCCTGCCAGAATTTGACCAAACGCCATCGCCTAACAACTAAGAAACTCAAAGAACACATTCTACCTACTTGTGTGTGCCCTTGCCCTGATATACCACCGCCCTGGGGATACATAAGTAATACAAATAAATATTTCTTTAACAAATAGCTAATTAACTAGGGCCAACGGCTTTCCGCTGGAAAAGCTGAGATTAATTATCTAGCAGAATGGCCTGTAAGCGAAAAATAAGAGTTTATTCACCAATTATGGTCCATTGGCCAATAATGAGCGTTTGCGACTGGGGCGGAACATATATAATTATTATTTTGAACTTGTTGAATGAGATTTCAAACCGATTTATATGGTTGGGGGCATGAATAAATTTGATAACCTCAGCCGGGACTGGGTCGATAAAAGACGACGGGAATGTAATTGTGTGAACGATAAGAATTGGATACTTACTATTTCTAAGAATGACAACTTCCAAAGCCGATCTTCAGTTCCCAGTGAAAAAGATTCCATGCCGTTCAAAACTAACAATTTGTTTTGGCCACCAAGCCTTCTTTACCCCTTCTCGACGAGTGTGGCGACCTTACACTAATATTACAAAAGGTGTAATACCACGGAAATAGTATACATCGAAGTACACTCTTTCTTTCCAATAATAAATCTTCATATTAAGTCACTTACCGCTCTGTGTGGAAGATTTTGCTTTGTACAGTAGGCCAAACTCCTCGCCAGGGAAGAAGAAAGAAGAGAAAAACAGCGCAAATGTTACGATACATTCAATACTGGTTATAACGGCATTAGTTACAACAGTAGGTGAGCGGTGTTTTACCTAGCCTGTTTACAAAACCCATCCAGTTAAATGTCGTGACTCTACCAGCGAGAGAAATGAACCATAGATTGTGTTATCGCAATGCATCGGTGATATGCTGTGTTGGGTGATGTGTTTGAATTGTGTTCCATTCTATTTTGCATCTGGTAATGCATCTGGTAATGCAATCGGCAATGGGACGGCAATGCATCGGAAATGGGAGGGCAATGGGAGGGCAATGCATCTGGTAAAGAATCGGTAATGCATCTGGTAATGCACCTGGTAAAGAATCGGCAATGAATCTGGTAATGCAGCTAGTAATGAATCTGGTAATGCACCGGCAATGAATCGGAAATGGGCTGCAAGGCATCGGGGATGTATTGGGAATGTGTTAAATAAAATCGAATTTTCCAAAAAACATGACGACTTAAAAAGGAACTGAACCTGTGAACCCCTGATCCTTAGCAGATACTTCGCCATATCAGCCATATAACATTTGTTATATATTTGACCTTAAAGAGCGCTATATATCCAGCAAATATGGATAGAAATGCATCATGAAAATGCATCATGGAAATGTATCATAGAAATGTATCATGAAAGGCATCATAAAAGCATCCGGAAAATAATCCAAGAAAATGAACAGGAAAGGCATCAGGAATGGTGTTCGGAAAATCACCCAAAAACCGCCCAAGAGTAAATGCATCAGCTGATTCATTTACCAAAAGCCTCGACAGTAAATGCATCATGGATTGATTTCCTCCACTGTAGGATTTCAGAAATGCATCATTTGATGCATTAACCCCCGTAGTAGAGTGAAAAGCCTCCATGGTTGAAAACCATATTTTTGCCGGGCTGTTCGCCAATAGACTGGTTCAGCCGCAGATGTATAAATAAGGTTAGCGGTCTGTTCATGAATAGTTCAGGTCCGTTCGTGCATTTGTTAAATTTTTTTTTTTGCGAATTTGCCGTATCTGGGTATCGCCCGAAACAGATAAGGTCCTATGTCTACAGCGGCTATCGAGGGCCACCCTAACATAACCTGCAAAAACTCACCTACCCATATTGAGTGAAGTGGCATTGCCAAAAGTTTCAACAAGCGATAAAAAAGCTTTCTTCGGGACGTATTCCTCATAAGAACACTTTCAGCGCCAATACCAACGATCGATCTAACGTTGCTAGACTTCCATTTTTCATACATATGTGATCATGGTTTATCACTCGACACCTCTGTTGCGCGGCTCACATAGCAACACCACACTCACACCGCACGAGTTTGTATACCATCGCTCCCACACTGAACCGAAAGCAACCTATCTAACCGCCCGGGAGCCCGCCGGACAAAAAGGCAGACCAGTCAGAAATGTTCCCCAACGGCCTGGGCCGTTCAGGATAGCTGTTACGAATTATTAACAAGGACGAATGCCCACTCCCCTTATATAGCTCCCGGGGGCAAGTGGTCTAGGAGTGTCAACAAGCGAGTGAGTAGGATAAGTACTGCTTGCTATCTTCATGGGTGCTAAAGCCGCTTCGTCCTGCTCCATTGTGTATCACGGCGGGCGATGAATAAGATCTTGATCCAGAAAAGAGAACCGCTAGCACTAACCACCCCTCCGCCGTCCGCGAAAGGTGACAGGTGTCCCGCGGCAGATGAAGATGTTGAGGCGAATGATCGTTGACCGTTTCTAGCTCGCTGGCGGTTATATCTTTGGGTGGACGAGATGGGCTTCTGCGGCAAGGCCAGATGAGACGTCGACGTACCAGTCTCATACTAGGTCGAGAATGGAAGACAACACCGACGGAAGTAGAATCCAGGTCTTGAGGGCTATTCCAACCAGGCTGGTCATCGGCGAGAACCGTACGTACAGTTCGATACAAGGTTAGGTTCTTGAGAATTAGAGACCCCTCTCCTCCCCAAGAAAAGCAAACCCCGCCAAGCCCGACTGACCATTGCGGCCTTGTGTAAGAAACCGGCCCAGCCCGAAATGTTCCCAACGGCCAGACCGTTCAGGAAATAGTTGTGAATAAAGCAAATAACCAAGGTGGGATCGATATGCACGCTGTCTTTTACTGTTTCCTCCATCCACATCTGGTGCGCTGTTTACGTCCTCGGTGGGCTGGGAATGCCGCTGATAGAGCGGTGCTCACGTCGATCGCCGCTGTCCGTCCGTCTCCGAAGAAGAATAAAAATCAATTCCGTCGTTTTATGTACAAGACCGCCGCCCCGCACCGGCCGCATCCCCACCAGCCGTGCACTACCTAAACGCCTTCAAAAACACATAATCCACCAACCTCCACCTGGCGCCCTTAACCTTCAGCCACTTCTCCGCAACCTCCCCATGCCCGCCCCTCCACGCCCACCTCCACGGCGTCTCCCCACCTTCATCTACCGCCGCCCTCTCCGCCCCCGATTCCACCAATACCCCCACCACCTCCTCCGCTCCCTCCCCTGCCGCAAAATGCAGCGCCGTCGCCCCCCTCGCATCCCGCGCCCCCACCTCCGCCCCCACAACCACTAGAAACCGCACAACATCCACCATCCCCCTCCACGCCGCCAAATGCAGCGGCGTCGCGCCCTTCGCATCCTTTGCCCCCACCGACGCACCAGCGGTAACCAGCACACTCGCCACACCAACGTCCCCCATCATCGCAGCATAGTGCAGCGCGCTGCACCCCCGCCACCCGGGCGCGTCCACGGCCGCCCCGCACTCCAGCAGCACACCCACCGCCCCAACGTGCCCATGCTCCGCCGCCACATGTAGCGCTGTATCGCCGCGGCTGGTCCTCTCCGCCACGTCGGCGCCCGCGGCGATCAGCAGGCGCACGATGTCGTCATGGCCGGCGGCGGCCGCGCGGTGCAGGATGGTCAGTGTGTAGCGGTCGACGCAGGTGCCGTCGAGGGAGGCCTTGATGCGCAGGTCGAGGAGGATGTTGTCGTACTTGACGGGTGCCCAGGCTTTCTGCGAGATGTGCTGGTTTGCGGGGGTGAGGGTTGTGAGCGGGGCATCGCGGTGGAGCGCGATGCGGAGGAGCAGCGGGTGGTTGTGCGTGGCGGCGAAGAGCAGGAGGGCACCTTCGGGGGTGGGGGCGTGCACGATGCAGGTGAGGAGGGAGCGCAGGGTTGCGGAGGTCTGGGAGAGGGAGCGGAGGGAGAGGGGGGGGAGGTGGTCGGCGATGAGGAGGAGGAGCTCGGGGGGGAGGGAGAGCAGTGTTGTGGACATTGTGGTGGTTGTGGTAAGGTGAGGCCGGTGAGAGGTGAGGCGAGGTGTCGTTTGGTTTAAGTTGTGTGGTGCGGTTGTGGAGAGACAGCCGTTTCTGGGCCGGGGTGCGTGCTCGTTTATATGTCGACTAATCACTGGCAGCATCCCTGGCCCGGGCGACGTGTGCTGACTGAACCGTTTGACTGACGTGCAAGGCTGCGGCGGGGTCTGTGGGTGCGTGCGTGTGCGTGCGTATGTCTCAGCCTGAGTTCTGGCGCGATGGGGGTTAGGGTTCGCTGATTGGGCCGTTTTCATTAATTAGACGGACACTTCTGCCCCTTGACGTGACGGCGGGGAATTGCACTCGGGAGATCATTGGCCTTCGTATCCGTGTCGCGCGGAACTACCCGTCTCTTTGTTTGCACTGCCACCACAGCGAACGTGATGTGACAAAGCTGGTAGCACCTGCACTTCGAGGATGAAACGGTTGTGCTTGGAAATGATGGGTTTGCGGGTTTTGGGGTGGATGGTTGCGTGTGCTGGTCTGGGCAGACTCGGCTAGTACCACCATGCCAAGACCGGCTGTGATTGGTTGACACGAGTAAGTGCTAATAATTGGGCCCGAAGCGGAAGGGTGGCACTGGGTTAGTGGAGGCTCTTGGCGGGTGTTGACCACATGTACTATCTGCATGGCGTCGAACTTTGATGTGTGTACGCATTTCTCACGCTTACTCGACACTGGTCATTGGGATGAGAAGGCTGATCAGGAAGTTCTCGCAGGGCGATTATGTGTCGAGAACTAAATACAACTATGGTGCCCCCGATCTTAAAGGTAGCGAAATTTCAATCGCTTATAACTTCACCACCACAATAGATATTAAAAATCTGTGGTGAAGAAGAGACTGCCCGGACAGACTTTTGATATCCAACATGGTTATGAAGTTATAAGAGATTGAAGTTGGCTGTTTTTGTATGTAAAAAGCGCCAAGAGTGAACGGAGTGGAACTGTATTATACCCATTTATACCCCCAAAAAAGAAAACCTGCCTGAGCCGTGCCAGCAGTGAGGCACCAAGCTGGTTAGAAATGGGCCGGATTGTTCCACTTCCGTATGCGGCGTGCCACCTTTAAGATTGGGGGCACCATATCTACATCTAGAGTAAGTCCTGGACCAGAGTAAGTTTTTCTCCCACGTGTAGAGTGAGCGGGTCGAGGTGGTAGAGAAAGGTGGGTTAGTGTTGGGCTTCAAGCGTCGTGATGATGGTACAGTCATGAATGGACCAGGTGCATCCACGGAAACGCCTCAAAGTTGACGTTGCCGGAAACTGGTCCGGGTTACACTGAGCTAGGTTTTGTTGAACCGGCCAGGGTCGTGTAATTCTAAAGACAACGGTTCGCTCGCAGGTAAATGGTAAGCAACGACACTACTGCATGTATCGATAGTCTCGCTCCTAGACCCTACGATGTTTTTTGTAGTTGTGAGTAATTTATACCTTGATATGGTTGGGTTTATTGTGGTTAACACCGCCATGGTCTGGACCGTCTGGTGTAAAAACTGTGCAAGGAAAGATTTAGCACCTTTTCATGGCAATCGGTGTTTTTGGGATAATAGTTGTTTTGCCATAACAACCGGAGGTTTTTTCATCTTCTAATTTTTATTTCATTTTATTTTTTAATTTTTAATACTTTTTTTTTTTTTTTTTTTTCGGCATAACAGCCGGGGACCTCTAGTATAGCAACCGGGGATTCTGGTATAGCAACTAGGCCAAAAAAAATCCACCACCAAAAAAAAAAAAAAAAAAGAAGAAAAAAAGAATTCCGAATGGGCTGGGGAACAAAACTAACCTGCCTACCGTTTTATCATAATCCTCGAGATGAGCCAACTTCTCGAGCGGGCTGGAATAGGCGGCTGGATAATGGTTGTGTGCGGGATAGAAACCCTAGCTGAACCGGCCTAGAGATGTTTTAGCCCATTCATAAACATCAGCCAACTGGCGTTCTTGGTTTCGAGTTACTCTCTAGCTAGCAAGGGTTAAAAGAGTGTCGAACTACTCTCGGGGGCTACGGCACGTCTAGAAGGCTTTTCTAGTGCAGCTCGCGGAGGTGCCGAACGCCGCAAGAGAGTAGCTGGCGGCGGCGGCAATATAGCCAAAATATCTCTTCCACCTCTACTGTGGCCGCTCCAATTCCATAGACCGAACTGAACCTTGGACCATATGTATTTTATCGTACTCCGGGATTTCAAAGTCGGTTTGAGGAAAAAGAGAATATCTACTTGGAAAATTTCATTTTTACGCTATTTCCGAGAAGTGACCGAATGAATATCTAAATATCCTGCTTCCAATCCCGAAATTGAGGCTTGAAGTCCGTGGGCAGTGGGGTCTTCGGTGGGCGTAGTTAGTCGCATTGTTTTGGAGACCTATTAGACACGTAGTTTGTTTTGGATATGATGATATAACTACATATAACGAGGGCACACGACGAGCATTAGATATCATCATCACACTCAAAGAAACCCCTAAAAGCAATATCACCATACCCAATTCGCCGACACCCCCAAGGTCTCCGCAAACGTGCACGACGGAGCATAGCTGTATAATAACTCTGATCTTAATGTTTTTGGCGGGGGTTACATTACCGGCGCCTTGGTTTGGGCGAGGTTATCGGAGGTGAGATTCATATGCACATATATGTAGGTGTAAATGAAAGTATGGAAACGTTGTCAGGACATGGGGCGGCAGGGTTTTGGGTGTAACTAGTGCTAGTTGTTACCAATCTAATATGTATTATCTTTACTCTCTGATGTACGCTCATTCAATCTGATTGGTCGTGAGAGACAGGGGCGATTTAGTAAGCACGACACATCAAAATTCTGAGCGCTCACGATTGAATGGGGCCGAGGGTCCCACATAGTAGAGAGAGAGTGTGAATTGGAGAGAGTAGGAGGTAGAAGTGGGAGGGGGGAGGGACCGAAGGCCCCCCCATTGAAGGCCTTTCACAATTATTGAACACTTGATTGATACCCATAATCCAAAGTACAACTCGCGGTCGCGAGGTGGGCCACTACTAGTCTTAAGTAGTCCGGCTAGCTGTACCTTGCCAAGACAGGTTGTGATTGGGTGTTATTGAAAATGCTAATAATTTGGCCGGAAGCGGTAGAGCCTCTTGGCGAGGGTGTCCGCTTTGGGGTTTCAACTACTGTCTGGGTTGGGACTGGGGTACGTACATGTACAGTTTCCGGTAGAATTATTGCGAAAGTCAGAGCTAAAACAGTGGATTTGTTGGTCTGTCCTCGTAGCAAAAAACCTTTTAAGGGCCAATAGGACTATCGGGTCACGGAGAACCCACTTTCGCAATAATTTTATCGGAAACTGTAGCTACGTGACCTCTTGATGTTGAAGCCTTCTGAATCTCACCCCTAGTCAGAGGTGAGATACTGCAATGACGCTAAGTCTTGAACGAGGGCGATTTATCGGCTGGGGTAATGTACATTAAGGTTAAGGTTTGGGTGACGTGAGCTGTCATTCCAGGGTTGACATGATCAGACAAGTGCAAGAGGTGGGACAGACCACTAAAAGAAATGTGATAAATTGATTACACTGTGTGACTAGACTTCAGTGCACATGTATGGATTGTGTCGATCGACCCAGGTTGGGCTCTGTTGGCAGAACTAAAGTGCAAGAGATATCAAAGGCAGTATCTTCACACTCTCAGCGGACATGTGTGTAGAAGAAATCAGCGCATAAGGAGGATATACTGCCACCAAAAGTTCCTTCTCATCCGAAAACTTGCTCTCAATGATAGGTCTATTCCGACATGGCCAGGACCGCGCGGCCAGATAGTCGGATGTCTCAGGCTATTAACTCGCAGAGCGGTTCATACTGGGATAAATCGACTTCGGACTTCCCGAGCGTGCTAGAACAACTATGATATGCATGATAGTAGAGGTGCATAGCAGTATTATTCGATTCTTAGGGTTCACATGGGCGAGAGATGTTCTAGCCCGTTCGCGAACATCGCCTACGCTGATAGAATCTTCTGTCGAGCTAGGTAGCCATTCCGGTTGTTCATTGGCCTCGCGGTGGCAAAGGAGACTACTCTTGAAGTAGGAACAGGTGGTTGATACATGAGCTATGGGGGTCCTCTTGGAGTGTATGTAGCGGGAGGGGCTTGAACTATCTCTGTCTTTGCCGAGTTCTTCTCAATCTCTATTACAAGTCATAGACTCTTACAACTAAATGGCCCCAGATCGGAGAGTTATTAGATAGGAAAGATGACGAAAGTTGAGATTCCACTGCTTTTTAATAGTTATGCCTAGTCGTGGGCGAGTGGGAAGACATGATTCTACGAGGTAATTGATTGATTTTGATTTTGATTGATTGATTCTTCCATGAATTATGTGCAGCCCGGAGATTATGACAATACAACAAACAAATTTTCCTCCTCGGAATGTCCCTTCACCCACCGTTATCTCAACAAAAAGAAAATATAAGGAAATAACTGTCACTCCCACTTAAGTTCAATTTTAATTGTCTCTCTTCTCTCATTGCCGATCTTTTGCTACGTAACATTGTACTCATTCTCATATGCATACCGGTGAATTATTTTTGTATATCTTTAATACTCTAGTTTTCCAGGAAATGATTTCAATCACAGGTGTCTCTGTGTTTCTCCTGTTTCTTCCCTATTTCTCTCTAGAATTAGGATTGCCTAGTTTTCTCTATGTAAATACTTTACCCAACCATCAACTGAACACTGTTCTCGCTACTGTTATATGATGCTCCTATCCCTGTTCCATTTTTCTAGCTCACGTAGTGTGCTAAGTTAGTACTATAACTTGTATTTCAGGAGTCTTTGATGTTGAAATCTATACTATAAGAGAGTCGATATCATGGCCCGACCATCTGCTCCTTGCTTGTCAGCAAGACGTCTCTGGAATCGCATTATTAGGTGAAGGATCGGTATGGCTTCAGTCTTGTTTGCTATGTTTGAAATACGCCCGGGTTGGATGTAAGCACTAGG